CAGTGCAGGGGCCTAGACACTTGGGCCATCTTCCACTGCTTTCCCAGGCCATAGTAGAGAGCGGGACTGGAAGTGGAGCAGCTGGGACTCAAACTGGTGTCCATATGGGATGCTGGCAGTGCAGGTGTCAGCTTTACCTGCTATACCACAGCACCAGCCCCTAAATTTGCCTTTGTCTCCAGAAAGCTGTAAAATACAATGTTGTCTTCAAAAAGTTTGAGAATATGGAATTAAAGATAATTTTATTTTGGTACAAAAGAAAATCAAAATCCATGTATAGTTTCTTTGTTTTGTTTTTAAAGATTTATTCATTCAAAAGGCAGAGTTAGAGAGTCAGAGAGATCTTCCATCCGCCGATTCACTCCCAAATGGCTGCAGCTGCTGGGGCTGGGCCAGGCCAAAACCTGGAGCTGAGAGCTTCATCCAGGTCTGCTGTGTGGGTGCAGGGGCCCAAGCACTTGGGCCATCTTCTGCTGCTTTCCCAGGCCACAGCAGGGAGCTGGATCAGAAGAGGAGCAGCCCATACGTGTTGCTGGCATTACAGGTGGTGGCTTAACTCTCTACGCCACAGTGCCAGTCCTCGCGCACAGGTTTTTTAATGTGCGTTTTTCCATGAACTTTAAGACCCCACGTGTTTCAAGTTGGGCTTCGCAGTCTGCTGTGCATGTTGTTGCACTGTGGGCGTTGTAGTCTGGCTGCACTGGCTGTACCTCTGCCCCACTGAGAAGAGAAACTTTTCTACCTGGATTGAGACCCTCAAGGAAGTTTTACCTAAGTAGGAGTTGTTTTACTGATGATAATATGTAGGAGAAAGAACCCGTTAGCCACTGTATATTTACAAGTGTGCTTTGTTTAGTTGATCACATATTCTTTCAGTTTTGTTACTGTGTTCTTGGATTACTCTATTTTGATACATGCATTTCACTTTAATGTCATTTGTCTTTTTTTTTTTTATAAGATTGTGGACATACATTTGGTGTAGAAGTTAAGATGTCATTGGGATGTCTGCTAATGTACACCCTAATGGCTGAAGTGGTTGGGTCCCTGCCACCCGCATGGGAGACCTGGGTTGGCTTCCTGGCTCCTGGCACCTGCCTGGTCCTATCCTGGCTGTTTCAGGCATTTAGGGAATGAGCTGGCGAATGGGAAACCTCTCTTTGTCTCTGTGCCTTTCAAATAAAATATATTGAAAAAATGTTTTCTAAATCTAAAAACAATAAGATTTACATCAATTCTACCATTTGGGGCCAGTGCTGTGGTATAGCAGGTTAACACCCTGGCCTGAAGCGCCAGCATCCCAAATGGGCGCCGGTTCAAGTCTGGGCTGCTCCACTTCTGATCCAGCTCTCTGCTATGGCCTGGGAAAGCAGTAGAAGATGGCCCAAGTCCTTGGGCCCCTGCACCCGCATTGGAGACCTGGAAGAAGCTCCTGGCTTCTGATCGGCGCAGCTCTGGCCATTGCAGCCAACTGTGGAGTGAACCAGCGGATTGAAGACCCCTTTCTCTCTCTCTCTCTCTCTCTCTCTCTCTGCCTCTCCCTTCCTGTGTAACTCTGACTTGCAAATAAATAAATATTTAAAAAATATATTAAAAAAGGAAATTTAAAAAAATTTACCATTTTAATTTTTTTGATTCTAAAGTTATCAATTTTCTTTATTGAGCATATAAAAATACAGAATAGAATAAACAAAATAAAAGTTGCCTGTAATCTAACTGCTTGTGTTTCTGTCTTTTTTATAGGCAATTCAGACTTTTGTTTTGGTTGATACTCTATGAACAGTTAATATTAGTTCCCTATTGCTATTGAAACAAATTACCATAAATTTATTGGATTAGGAGAACATGAATTTGTGGTTTCATGGTTCTGTAGATTGGAAGCCCAGCGCAGGTCTCCCTCGACTAGACTCGAGGTGATGGTGGCTGGGCTGTGTTCCCGAGACTCCAGAGGAGAACCCAGTTCCAGGCCCTTCCCAGCTGCTGGAGGCTGCTCATGTGCCTCGGTTCATGGCCCCTTCCTCTGTCTCCAGTGGCAGCAAGAGTGCGCCAAGTCCTCACAGCAGATCACTCTGATCCCCTCTTCTGCCTCCCTCTTCTACTAAAAAAAATTTTTTTTTCTTGTTATTGTTTTTACTTTTACTTTATTTGAAAGAGAGACAGGGCGCCACGGCTCACTAGGCTAATCCTCTGCCTGCGGTGCCGGCACCCCTGGTTCTAGTCCTGGTTGGGGCGCCAGATTCTGTCCCGGTTGCTCCTCTTCCAGGCCAGCTCTCTGCTGTGGCCCGGGAGTGCAGTGGAGGATGGCCCAAGTGCTTGGGCCCTGCACCCACATGGGAGACCAGGAGGAAGCACCTGGCTCCTGGCTTCGGATCAGCGCAGTGCGCCAGCCGCAGCAGCCGTTGGGGGGTGAACCAACGGCAAAAGGAAGACCTTTCTTTCTGTCTCTCTCTCTCACTGTCCACTCTGCCTGTCAAAACAAACAAACAAACAAACAAAAAAACCAGACAGACAGATGGGGATGTGGGAGGGAGAGAACTTCAATCTGCTGGTCCACTCCCCAAAGTGGGACTGGGCCAGCCAGAGCTCGCAGCCAAGAACTCAGTCCAGGTCTTTCATACCGGTGGCAGGAACCCAAGTACTTGGGCCGTTGTCTGCCATCTCCCAGGGTGTGCATTAGCAGGAAGCTGGATTTCTGAATTCTCATGCATAGTTTTCACTTACCTGTCTTTGTAGTTGAAAGAACTGGGAGGGAGGTCTGAAGTCAGAGCAGCACAGAGATCCTCCCCCTCCCCTGCCCCCCAGGCGTTTGAGGCAGAGGGGCTAGACTCTGGCATTCTAGAGGAGAGAAGGTCCCTCTGCTTGGTGTGGGCAGTAAAGTTTGAACACGTTGATAATGCTGAATTCTTATCCTGGAGTATGGTTAGAGCTGGCCATCGTGAGTATTAAGTTTCCAGAAGGAATCCACCAACCCCCCCCAAAACAAAAACAAACAAAAAAACATACAAAGGAACAAGCAAACAAACCCACCCCAGAACACCTACCCTGAGAGAGGAAGTTCTTTCTCAGGCTTTGTGTAAAGAAGGAGGCTTTTGAGTTAGCCTTTGGCCTCTGGGGCAGGTGCCAAGAGGGCCTGGTGATACCCTCGAGGTAGGTCAGGATTTGAGAGGAGACCCGGCAGCACTGATCTGAGTGAGGTCTGGGTGGAAACTGAGAATGGTGATCAAGGGCCCACAGCCATGGGTGTGTCTGGCATGTGCAGCACCCTTGTCCATGATGTAGAAGATGGGCACCTAAAGTTTTTTTTTTTTTTTTAAGATTTATTTATTTATTTGAAAGGCAGTTACTGAGAGAGGATGAGAGACAGAGAGATACTGATATCTTCCATCTGCTAGTTCACTCCCCACATGGCCACAGTAGCCAAGGCTGGGCCAGGCCAGTGCCAGGAGCCAAGAGCTTCATCCAGGTCTCACATGTGAGTACTGCTGGGATGCCAGTGTGATGGCAGCACTGTTATACCATCACAAAACACACCGAACACTGGAGTAAGGGAAAGGGTTTATTGGAGAAAATCTAGCAGACCGGAGGGAAGGGTTGAAGAGGGAAAAAGGGAGAGAAGGAGAGTATAAGAGAGACAGAGAGGAGAGGAGCTAGCGAGGAGAGAAGAGAGAGACGAGAGGAGCCAAGAGAGCCAGGTGTTCAGGAACAGGCCCTTTTAAAACTTTGCCGCAGGGGGGCAGTGAAGCAGGAGCAGCGAATCCTATTAGGATGGGGGTGGAGCTTGATACCAGTGGTTGGGCCATGTGGCCACCTGGCTTTCAGCAATGGCCGTGGGAGCCAGGGCATAGGATGTAGATCAGGTGTGTAGACTGCGCCATAGATAAGACTGCACCATTTTCCTAACAAGTACTGCAGGTGGCAGCTTAACACAGTGAGCCACAGCTCCAGCCCCTGAAGATGGGTTTTGCCCTTAAGGAGTTGCCAGTTGGGTGGAGAGACCTGTGGAGGTGGTAGTAACTGAAGCACTGACAGTGAAGTGGCTGATAGAGCCCTTCAGATATGTGAGTACAGCAATTGTGTTTGCATCTAACCATTGGTCTCCAGGCTGAACCTTCCTTTAATCACTCCTTGCATGGAATGTTTTAGATCCCTCATGTCCTCGGTGTCCATCTTTGAACACTTTCTGTTTGGGCAAAAAGATGACTAAAGTTGTCTTGCCTTCACTGCCCTATTCTGTCCAGCACCAAACCTTCCAAAGCATGTCCTTGAGCTGATCTTTTTCCGCCTGTGTTCTGATCACTGTCATCCTTGCCTTCACTACTGCAGGGTCTCCTGACCCATCTGTCTGATTTCACTGTGGTTCTCCAAAATCTGTGTTCTCCATGGCAGCCAGGGAGATTCCCCTAAACCTCAGTTCTAAACTCGAGTGGCTAAGACCTCAAGGGAAGCCAGAGACACTGGCTATTAAAATATGATCCAGGCCCCCAACCCTGCTGGCAGGACCCTGTAGGAACTGTGCTGATCTAAATTTCTAGGGAAAATCTTCATCCCTTTACACAGCCAAGCAGATACAGCCCTTACATAATGTCTTCAATTGAGGACCTGAGGGCACCATTTGTCACACATAGTTTATCCTGACTGCCTGTTGATCTGTGTTAGCTATTTGGTCCTGTCCAGAGGAAAAAAACTAACTACCCATACCTTTAAGACAGGAGGTTGTTTTCTACCTTGGAGTGTTTTCTACCTGTGGAAGTTAAGCCTCATAGCTCCCAGGTTCTTGAGAAAGACATGCCTTGGTCATAAACTGGCAAAACACTATCCAGTCTTCAAAAAGATCACATACAGAGATTTGAAAAAGCTCACGGAAAATATGTACTGTGGAAAAATTAGTTTTTACACCAAAATAAACATCTTTTAATTCTGTTTTCCATTAACTTTAAAAATATTTTTTTAATATTCTTTAAAAATGTTTTTAAAAATTTAAATATTCTTTAAAAATATTTTTTTCTTGTGTGGGGGTGATTGAGTTTATTGTAGATAAAGGTAAGAGAAAATGGGGTTTGAGAAAGGTGAGACGTGGAGGCACAAATTGCATGAAGGGTTCATCCTGGGCCTTCTGGCCACAAGCCTCAGCAGCCCTGCCATGGATCCGCTCGATTCTTTCGCATCAAGAAGTGGATCTTTCGAGTCATTTCCATGTAATAGATGCGCCTGCAGGTTCCATAACTTTCCCGCTGTCGCCGGCGGCAAGGCTTCTCATAGTATCGCCGTCGCTTAATGTCCTCAGTGAGCCCGTCCATAGTGAGGATCCTGTTTAGGGTCCTGTATGCGCCTTCCACATTTCCATCCTGCACCATCACAGTCCTGGCGATGAACTTCAGATGTTTTGCCATGACCTTACATTTAACTCCTCGCTTTGCTGGACCCAGCGCCCTCGGACCTAAAAATATTTTTTAAAAATTCTTTACTTATTTAAGAGATATAGAAAGAGCTCCCATCTGCTGGTTTGCTCCCCAAACACCTGCAATGGCCTTGGCAGGGTGGGGTTGGGAGCAAGCTAAGTGAAGTCAGAAACTCAATCTGGGTCTCCCAGACAGGTGGCAGGAACCTAATACTTGAGCTGCCGCTTTGACCACCACCTCCAAGGATCAGCATTTGCAGGAGACAGGTAATGGACTGGGACATTCAGATATGGGATATTGGTGTCTTAACCACTAGGCAAAATGCCCACCCTCCATGAGCTTTTGGAAGTATCCTTGTACATTTCAAAGAAAGGAGAAAGTATCTACAATTAGAATTTTTCTAAAGCGAAAGGAGAAAGGGAAAACCAGGAGCTGGGAATTCAATCCAAATCTCCCATGCGAGTGTCAGGAGCCCAGTTTCTTGAGCAGTGACTCCTGCCTTCCAGGGTCTGGATTAGCAGGAAGCTACAGCCAGGAACAGAAGCTGAGCATCAGACTGAGGCACTCTAGTACAGGATGCTAAGTGAAACACCAGCCGAGAATTAAACCTCTTGTTTTAATTTTTATTTGTTCTTATACTATCACATCTCTGATATTCGTCTGATTTGTTTGTCCCATAGACTCAGAGCAGGCGCCCTCTTCATAGTTCTTGTTTACTCTGTGTTTGCGGTGCCTGTGGCAGAACCTGTCGTGAAATAGGTGCCCAGTAAATAGTAAATGAAAGAATGAAATCCTTATTGACGTGGTGGACTTTTGTGTAAGCCATCCGAAGGGTACCACTGAAGAACAGTCACAGAAAATACTTGTCACATGCTGCTGAGTAGTGACTAGAGGTAGTGGCTGTGCCTTTGTGCCAGGCACAGTATCTCCTTCCGCCTCATGAACGCTGCTGTATAGCCAGAGAAGCTGAGGCTTACCATGTCACTCCAGCAAATCTGTGCCAGTGCAAGGATGTGATTCAAGGTGTAATTCCAAAGTCCATGTGCATTTCATTCCACTGGAAGTTGACAGTATTAGATTTGCTTACACTTGTATACAACAGAAAAACAAACTATGCCTCCAGAGAAATCGCTAGGTAAAATTGACTAGCCTTATTAATAATTTTTAATATTAATATTTGGAGGGTTCTTGCTGTCTATTCAGATAAGAATTCTGAATATCAGCTCAAATAAACCAGGTAACATGGTAAGGTTTTAGCATTTATTCAGTAAAAGAAATACATAGAAAAGTGAGGGCTTTATTTAGGGGAGGAAGAAGTCTAGAATTGTAAGTTGGGTCCATACCGGGCAGAGAGCTGGCCGGGAGCCATGTGGAGCAAAGTGTGCGATTAGGAGCAGGCACAGGTAGCTCAGTGCGAGCAGGAAAGTAGAGGCAGAGAGGTGGCCAAAAGGCTGCTTGGCTGAAGGTGTGGGACAACAAGCCGGGTGGGGGGGTGGGGGTGGGAGGATGGCAGTCCAGGCCTTTTATTCATTTCCAAAGGGGAGTGGTTGCATAACTGATTGGCAGGTGGGTGTACAGGTAAGGTCAGGTAGGTGCATGAGATCTCAAAAGGGGGCAGGACGAAGGTGTGGTCTCTAGCTCACAGATCTAATCAACTTAATTCTCTCTGCCTGCCTATATCATAGAGACAGGGAAAACAGAGCAAAAATATTTTAAAATTTAAGTGTATGTGTTTAGCATGTGGGACTTTTGGTAAATTATCTTTTCTGTACACACTTTCCATGTTTAATAATGACATGGTGATTATTTTTTCAAGCTTATGTAAAGAGCTTTATTTTTGGTTCTAATTATCCTGATAATTTTCTTTTTTTTCCCCCAGAAGCCTTTTATTTAAGGTATACAAACTTCATACATTTCATAAATACAACTTTAGGAACTTAGGGTTTCTTCCCACCATATCTGCCCTCCCACCTGCAATCCTACCCTTCTTCCTCCTCCCTCTACTATTCCCATTCTTATTTTTTACTAAGATCTATTTTCAGTTAACCTTATGCTCATAAGATTAACTATACTAAGTAAAGAGTTCAGCAAATAGTATGAAAAAAAGCTGTTCCTCAACAGTCGAGACAAGGGCTGTTCGAAGTCATCACATCTTAAAGCGTCAATTTCACTTCTATAGATTACCTTTTAGGTGCTGTGTTAGTTGCCGCAGTTAAGGGGGAGAACATATGGTATTTGTCATTTAGAGACTGGCTTATTTAACTAAGTATGATGTTTTCCAGTTTAATCCATTTTGTTGCAAATGACAGGATTTCATTTTTTTTTTTTTTTTTTACTTCTTTGTAGTATTCCATGGTATACATATCCCATCGTTTCTTTATCCAGGCTTCAGTTGATGGACATTTGGGTTGATTCCATATCTTAGCTATTATAGACTGAGCTGTAATAAACATGGGAGTAGAGATAACTCTTTCATGTGCTGATTTCATTTCCCATGGTTCAATTTCTGGGAGTGGGATGGCTGGGTTGCATGTTAGGTCTACATTCAGATTTCTGAGGTATATCCATGCTGTCTTCCATAGTGGCTGTACCAGTTTACATTCCCACCGATGGTGGATTAGGGTACCTTTTCCCCCACATCCTTGCTAGCATTTATTATTTGTTGATTTCTGTCTGAGAGCCTTTTTTTTTTTTTCAAATTTTACTGCAAAGAAGGTGCAGCTGGTCTCTGCAGAGAGTGGTCGATCTCACCGAAGCTGACCTTCCGCGGGCTGAGTGTGAGCCCCTCTGTCCACTGGGCTGTGGGGGCCCAGGCCGTACGGGAGATGGGTAGTTCCTCTTGCTCCATGGCCCCTGAAGCAAGTCAAGACTCCACCTCGGGCTCCGCTGTCCTTCCTTGGGCTTGGATTCATGGTGTCTGAGAGCCATTCTAATGGGGCTGAGGTGAAACCTCATTGTGGTTTTGATTGCATTTTGCTGATGGCTAGTGATTCTGAGCATTTTTTTCATGTGTCTGTTGGCCATTTGGATTTTCTCTTTTGAAAAATGCCTATTTGTTTTGCCCATTTCTTAACTAGGTGGGCTGTTTCGTTGTTGAGTTTCTTGATCGCTTTATATATTCTGGTTATTATTAATCCTTTATCAATTGCATAGTTTGCAAGTAATTTCTCCCATTCTGTTGGTTGCCTTGTGCTGATCTTGATGAGTTTCTGAGTCTCCAATCGGTCTTCTAGCACGTGCACTTCCCTGTCCAGGTATGTGGCTTTGTGTGTCTCCTGTGTGCTGGAGCAGGGTAGTGATGAAGTATTGCACAAGACTGGGCAAAGGTCACAGACTTCTACAGGGCCCCATATTCTTCCCTCTGTTTTGATGTTGAGTCGCTAATCAGCATTCTTTGAGTCTCACTGACTCATTCTTGTGATTCCATCTTCTTTCAGTTTCCTATTTACAGTTTATTTTGAGAGGTTTTATTATTCCTGTCAAGATAGAGCGTGATTCACTGATGAGCACTTTGAAAGATGCTAGAGTTCTGGAAATCATCACTCTATTGTTGTCCGTGCATGGCTCTTTGTTTCTTGTTTTCCTGCATTCACTGATGGTGAAGTTCATTCCCCTTGATGGAGGAACATGAGAAAAGTAGAAATTTAGTACTTCTGTTCATCTCCTGTCTTTTACTCTGTGCCTTGTTAGCTAAGTATTTAATCATAAAAGTACAATCTTTCTACTTATGTATATTTTAAATTTAATTTGTTGGATATTTTTCTTGATTACATAAATAATATTTTCCATGAAACATATTTTGCAAAACATACAAAAACATTTTATAGAAAGTTATACCAGCGGGTGGGCATTTTGCCTAGGAGTTAGGGTATCAGTTAACATGCATGCACCCCAAATCAGAATACCTGGGTTTAGTACCCTGCTCTAGCTCCTGACTGTCGTTTCCTGAATGGAGACCCTGATAATGGCTTAAGTAATTGGGTTCCTGTCATCCGTGTGAGACACTCAGATTGAATTCCCAGATCTCAGCTTTGGCCTGGCCCAGTGTGGGCTTTTACAGGCAGTTGGGGAGTGTGATCTCTTTCTACCTCTCAATAAATATAATTTTTAAAAAGATTTATTTTATTATTTATATGAAAACCAGAGTTACACAGAGAGAGAAGAGGCAGAGAGAGAGAGGTCTTCTATCCACGGGTTCACTCCCCAATTAGCCGCAACAGCCATAGCTGGGCCAATCTGGAGCCAGAAGCCAGGAGCTTCTTTCAGGTCTCCCACGCAGGTGCAGGGGCCAAGGACTTAGGCCATCTTCTACTGCTTTCTCAGGCCACAGCAGAGAGCTGGATTGGAAGTGGAGCAGCAAGGACTCGAACCAGTGCTCATTTGGGATGCCGGCAGTGCAGGCGGTGGCTTTACCGGCCCCAATAAATATAATTTTAAAAAAAGATTTCTGTATTTACTTGAAAGAATTAGAGATTTATTTGAAAGAATTAGAGAAACAGAAAGTGAGATATTTCTATCTGCTGGTTCACTCTCCAGATGGCTGCAAAGGCCTTGGTGGCTGGGGAGGCCAAAGCCAGGAGCTTCATTCAGGTCTCCCATGTGAGTGGTAGGAGCCCAGCTACTTGGGCCGTCTTCCCCTGCTTTTCCCATGCCATTAGCAGGAAGCTGGATCATAAGTGGAGCAACCACAACAGGAACCCATGCACGTATTGGGTATAGGTATAGCAGGCAGCAGCTTTATCCATTGTGCCACATCACTGGGCCCAAATACAAATTTTTTAGAAAAAAGTAAACCACTGGTCACATTGCTTCTCAGAGCTATTAACATTTGATGCACATTTGATGTATGTGTCATTTCAACCCTCAGCCCATACACATACACTCCTGAGAGTGTATGTGTTGTTGGGGTGGGTGGGTATATGATCATTTCAACACCCGGACTTGTTCTTTATTAGATCTTTTAATTGAAAAAAAGTGACTTACTGATTTTATGCACTGATTGAGCTTTTATGGCACTGGTTTATTCTAAATATGGTTTTATATATTTTTAAGTTTTTTTTTTTTTTTTTTACCTCATTTTCTAGGTCCAAAAGCTGCTTTGCATGTGCCCAGTAGACTTCCATGGAATCTTCCAGCTGGATGAAAGACGGAGAGATGCAGTGATTGCACTGGGCATTTTTCTCATCGAGTCTGATCTTCAGGTAAATCTTTACTGTAATTAAAAGTTTCTGCAGTGTAAAAGGGGGTATATAATAAGCATTTAAATTCATGTCTGATTCTGTTTGCCTGAAGCAATACTAAAAAATGCATCTGACCAACCCTAATCAAAGTGGATGAAACAGGTGGGAATGAAACTTCTTAATGTGGATCTTCTTAGGAAATGGTTTTCCTGAACTGTGTGAACATACTATGTGTTGTTAAAAATTTATTTATTTATTTGAAAGGCAGAGTTACAGAGGCACAGAGAGAGAGAGAGAGAGAGGTCTTTCATCCTCTGGTTCACTCCCCAGATGGCCGCAATGGCTGGAGCTGTGCTGATCCGAAACCAGGAGATTCTTCTGGGTCTCCCACACAGGTGCAGGGGCCCAAGGACTTGGGCCATCTTCCGCTGCTTTCCTTGGCCATAGCAGAGAGCTGGATTGGAAGTTGAGCAGTTGGGACTCAAACTGGAGCCCATATGGAGTGCTGGCACTGCAGGTGGCAGCTTTACACACTACACTACAGCGCCGACCACTTCAGTAGGGTTTTAAAAACCAGCCTTGTGACTTGAACAAAAATGGTGTGAACATTTTTTAAATGTATTATCAAAGCTGATTGAAGCAAATGATTGAGCATTGACTGTAAGATCTTTTATTTATTTACTTATCTGGATATTTTTTTATGGTGTAAAATAACATTGATTTACATAATTTTTTTTTTTTTTTAATTTTTGACAGGCAGAGTGGACAGTGAGAGAGAGAGAGAGAGAGAGAGAAAGGTCTTCCTTTGCCGTTGGTTCACCCTCCAATGGCCGCCGCTGCAGCCGGCGCACCGTGCTGATCCGATGGCAGGAGCCAGGATCCAGGTGCTTTTCCTGGTCTCCCATGGGGTGCAGGGCCCAAGCACCTGGGCCATCCTCCACTGCACTCCCTGGCCACAGCAGAGAGCTGGCCTGGAAGAGGGGCAACCGGGACAGAATCCGGCGCCCCAACCGGGTCTAGAACCCGGTGTGCCGGCACCGCAAGGTGGAGGATTAGCCTATTGAGCCACGGCGCCGGCTTTGATTTACATAATTTATGTCTAGGACATAACTACTTTCTTTAGAACAAGACAGTTTACTAGTAATAGATAAATTTTTTGATCATAGGCTTCTTTTTTTCCTTAAAGATTTATTTATTTTTTATTTTTAAAGATATTTATTTATTTATTTATTTGAAAGAGTTACAGAGAGGAGAGGTAGGGAGAGAGAGAGAGAGGTCCTCAATCCTCTGATTCACTCCCCAGTTGGCCATAATGCCTGGAGCTGTGCCGATCCGATGCCAGGAACCAGGAGCTTCTTCCAGTTCTCCCATGTAGGTGCAGGGGCCAAGGACTTGGGCCATCTTCTACTGCTTTCCCAGGCCATAGCAGAGATCCGGACTGGAAGTGGAGCAGCCGAGTCTCGAACTGGCAACCATATGGGATGCTGGCGCTTCAGGCCAGGGCATTGACCCACTGAGCCACAGTGCCAGCCCCTTAAAGATTTGTTTAGTTATTTGAAAATCAGGGTTACAGAGAGCGCGATCTTCCATTTGCTGGTTTACTCCCCAGATGGCTGCAGTGGCTACTGCTGCAATGGCCGAAGCCAGGAGCTTCATCTGGGTCTCCCACGTGGGTGACAGGGACCCTGACACATGGGCCATCTTCTGCTTTTCCAGGCCATTAGCAGGGAGCTGGACTGGAAGTGGAGAAGCTGGGACACAAAATGGTAGCTGTATGGGATGCTGATGTCACAGGTGGCAGCTTTACCCTCTCTGCCACAATGCCAGCCCTTTCTCCAGACTTCTGGTGGAGCTCCCTGCTAATGTGCCTGGGAGGCAGTGGATGACGGCCCAAGTATGTGGATCCCTGCTACCCACAAAGGAGACTGACATGGAGTTCCAAGCTCCTGACTTCAGCATGGCCCAGTCCTGGCTATTGGAGGCATTTGGAGAGTGAACCAGTAGATGGAATTTTTCTTGCTCACTGGATCACTCTCCCTCCCTCTCTCCTGCTTTTCCTCCCTCTCTCCCTTCCTGTCTCCATATTACTCAACCTCTCAAATAAATAAACCCTTAAAAGAAGAAAAAGGAAAAGGAAAGAAGACGAGGGACATGAACAACACAAGGCATCACCAAGTTGAGAAGCATGTGGCTGAGCTTCTCTCCTGTCCTGAGGATCTTATCCCATGGATCATGGGGCCAACGTTGTGGCAAAGCAAGTTAAGTCTCCACCTGTGATGCCAGCATCTCATATGGGTGCCAGTTTGTGTCCTGGCTGCTCCACTTCTTATCCAGCTCCCTGTTAATGCTCCTGGAAAAGCAGCGGAAGGTGGTTCAACTACTTGGGCCCCTGGCATCCCACATGGGAGACCCAGATGAAGATTCCAGCTCCTGGCCATTTGGGGAGTGAACTAGTGGGTGGAAGATCTGTCTCTGTCTCTCCTCTCTGTAACTGTGCCTTCCAAATAAATCTTTAAAAAAGAAGTTCATGTGTCTTATGGCTATGAATGAGTTTTGTGGCTCTCTGAACCTGTCACTGAAGGCAATTTTGAGTGTGCGTGCACGCCTATCTTCTAGAGAGGCCCTCAGGGGGCCCTGCGCAGCCAGGTAGATGGACATTCACCTCCAGGGGGCAGGTTTGAGCCTTCTCTTAGGCCCTTGTGGTACAGACTGAACTCATAGCCTGTGGGCTGTGCTGTGTGGAAGCTGGAGGGGAGTGGCGCCATTTGAACTGACATGTGCCCTATATTATCCCTGGAGAATCTTTGGGGTATTAGGACGTGGATGTGCTTTGCATTTGACTTAATGTATGCTAAAAAAAAAATACCACCAATCACTTATTTTTCTCTCTCTCTCTTTTTTTTTTTAACAGCACAAAGATTGTGTGGTACCTTACCTTCTTCGGCTTCTCAAAGGTCTTCCAAAAGTGTATTGGGTAGAAGAAAGCACAGCTCGGAAAGGCAGAGGTAATTTTATCTGTTTTCCCTGAATGCAAGGAAAAGCCGTGTGTGCTCAGTGTGTGTGGGGATCCGGTTCTTTATGCCGGCCCGTCTGATGGGATGCTTCTAGCTCAGTGTGTGTGGGGATCCGGTTCTTTATGCTAGCCCGTCTGATGGGATGCTGCTAGCTCTTCCCACTGCTGGCTGTGGGACAGCGGCCTGCCTGTGGCAGTCACTGTGGTTTGGAACGCGTGGGTGAGGGCAGCTGGGCAGGCTGGCTGCCATTGCCCTCTTCTGGGAGTGAGAGAGAACTCTGAGTCCTGAAGGAACCTTTTTCATGTCTCACTGGCCAGAACTGGCCATTTGCCCGTCCTACTCAATCAGTGGAAACCCAGGTAGAGGAGCCCAAGCACTTCGGCCAGCTTCTACTGCTTTCCCAGGCCATAAGCTGGGAGCTGGGTGGGAAGAGGAACAGCTGGGACACGAACCGCCATCCATATGGGATGCCAGCGCCACAGGTGGAAGCTTAACCTATTTATGCCACAGCACTGGCCCAACTTTTCACTTTTTAATTATAAGGCAGTGTAGCCTTGCTTTTTTTTTTTTTTTAAGATTTATATAATTATTTGACAGAGTTACATAGAGAGAGGGAGGGGCAGAGAGGGAGATCTTCCATCCAGTGGTTCACTCCCTAGATGGCCACAACAGCTGCGGCTGGGCCAGGCTGAAGCCAGGAGCCAGAAGTCTCCTCTGGGTCTCCTACATGGGTGGCTGGGACCTAAGTACTTGGACTATCTTCTGCTGCTTTCCCAGGTTCATTGGCAGGGAGCTGGATCTGAAGTGGAACAGCTGAGACTCAAACCAGAAGCCAACGTTGCAAGCAACAGCTCAGCCTGTTGTGCCTTAACACTGGCCCCAATAGCTTAGCTTTTAAACTTTGGAACAGTTGTACTCAAAGTGTTGTCCCTGGGCCAGCAGCATCAGCATCACCTGGGAACCTGTCAGAAATGGAAATTCTCAGTTGCTATATCAGAGCCATACTCTTGTCTTTGAGTCAGTATTAAGAATTGTTGACATTTTAAAGAAAACATTTACTTATTTGAAAGGCAGAGTTACAGAGAAGGAGAGGCAGAGAGAGAGAGAGAGAGAGAGACGCTTCCATCTTCTGGTTTACTCCCCAGATGGCTGCAACAGTCGGAGCTGCCCTGATCCAAAGCCAGGAGCCAGAAGCTTCTGGGTCTCCCATATGGGTGCAGGGGCCCAAGAACTTGGGCCATCTTCTACTGCTTCTCAGACCATAGCAGAGAGCTGGATCAGAAGTGGAACAATGGGGACTCAAACCGACGCCCATATAGAATGCCAACACTGCAGGCAGTGGCTTTGCCACAGTGCCAGCCCCTTGATGACATTCTTAATCATGACTGTACCAAGTGGCAGTGGTTCTAGCGTCTGAACGTGCGCCTGATCGAGTTGCTGCACAGCCTTTGGTCCTTTATTTACAGCACTCTGCTCCCTCGTAGGTTAGTGTGTGCTCCTAAGAATCTCCCTGCTAGGAGGCGTAGCAACAGAGGGTCAAATAATCTTGTGGGGGCCCAGTGTTGTGGAGCAGTGAGTTAAGTCATCACTTGAGACACTGGCTTCCCATATCAAGGTCCTGCTTCCAGTCCCAGCTGCCCTTCTTCTGAACCAAATTCCTGCTAATGTGCTTGGAAAGGAAGCAGAAAATGGCCCAAGTACTTGGGCCCCTGCCACCCATGTGGAAGGTGAGGAGTTCCTGGCTCCTAGTTTTGGCTTGGCCCTGATCTGACTGTTGTAGCCATTTGGAGAGTGAGCCAGCAGATGAGCGATCTCTCTCTTGCCTTCTCTCCCTCTCCTTCTCTCTCTTCAACTTATTCTTTCTTTCCTTCTCCTTCTCCTCTGTTGCTCTGCCTTTCAAATAAATAAATCTTAAAAAGAAATTATGTGGGGAACAAAGCAAAGTTTTGGTAGCTCTTAGGATTTTTCCTCTACCAAAACAAGGTACTACATTTTGGACAACTTCCGTGCCTGGTCTCTTATACTGTCAAGACTGGTTTCTCACTTTTATTTAGGTAGGGAATAAAAGAGAATCTGTCATATTGAGAGGCTCTACAATCTCAAATTGTACATTGGCTCAGGAAACGTTTAAGGAACGTAAGGAACGTAAGGAAAAGGTTAAATGTATATTTCTCAGCAAGTGCATTGGGCCCATATGTGTTCCTTTCAACGAGGGTGGCCACTGTGAAGTGATCCATTGGCAGGCCCCGTGGGAGAGGGCGCCTATGTGACTGTGGCTGGTGTCTGGTTTCTGCCGATCTGACTTCTGTCTTTACGTCTCCAGGTGCCCTCCCGGTTGCAGAGAGCTTCAGCTTTTGCCTGGTGACTTTGCTGTCTGATGTGGCTTATAGGGACCCTTGTCTTAGAGATGAGGTAAGTGTGGTTTTCCCGTTTCTCTTAGGTAGAAGAGAGCTCCAGAATGATGAAAAGAGTTTTTTTAAAACAAGAAAGCCTAAGTGTGATTGGATTGTTTATGTTGTTTTTATTTTATATTTTTAGCAACTGATCTAAGAAGTGTTTAATTCTTTCTTGCAGTACTTTTCAGGATATGATTAGTCTTCTCTCTTCCCACTTTCCTGAAAGCCCTGTGAGGAAGGCAGGGGATTGCAGTCATTCATAACAGATAATTTTTTTTCCTTTCTCGTTTTTCGATTAAGATTTCGTACTACTTTTTAAAAATTTTTGATTAACATGTAATACTTGTTCATTTTTGTGAGACATTACTTTTTTATTTTTGAGTAACATGTAATATTTGTTCATTTTTGTGGGGTGCAGTACAATGTTTCTTTTTTTTCTTTTTTAAAGATTTTATTTATTTATTTGAGAGGTAGAGTTACAGAGAGAGAGAGAGAGAGACAGAGACAGAGACAGAGAGAAAGGTCTTCCTTCCGTTGGTTCACTCCCCAAATGGCCACAACAGCCGAACTGTGCCGATCAGAAGCCAGGAGCTTCTTCCTAGTCTCTCATGCGGGTGTAGGGGCCCAAGGGTTTGGGCCATCTTCTACTGCTTTCCCAGGCCATAGCAGAGAGCTGGATTGGAAGAGGGGCAGCCAGGACTAGAAGCGGCACCTGAATAAGATGCCGGCACTGCAGGCATAGGATTAGCCTACTGCTCTGTGGAGCTGGCCCTGCAGTGCAATATTTCAACACATACATACAGTGTACACAGTGTAAACTAATCAGATCAGGCAATTAGCTTTTCCATTTCCTTTTCTACATGAGAACTTTGAGATAGCTGAAGCTTTTACCTTTGAGGGCCCAGACTCTTGTAGTTTAATTAATTAATGTATTATTTCAATTTTACTTGGAAGGAAGAGAGTCAGAAATCTTTTTTCTGCTGGTTCACTCCCCAAATGCCCACAAAAGGCCAGGAGCATGGAACTCCATCCAGGTATCCCATGTGGGTGGCAGGGACCTAAGTACCTGAGCCATCACCTGTGCCTTCCAGGTGACTGTTAGCAGGAAGCTGGAATTGTAAGTGGAGCCAGGACTTGAGCCCAGGTACTCTGATATGGAATGTGGGCATCCCAGGCGATGCCTTAACCACTGTGCCATATGCCCACCCCGTTTTAGTTTAGATAATTTTGTTAGAAATGTTACCTGTATTTCATACTTCCCTCCTTTTTTAAGATTTATTTATTTATTTGAAAGGCAGAGTTAGAGAGAGGGAGAGGCAGAGAGAGATCTTCTATCTATTAGTTCACTTCCCAAATGGCCATAATGGCAGAGGCTGGGCCAGGCCAAAGCCAGGAGCCAAGAACTTCATCCTGGTCTCCCATTTGGGTGGCAGGGGTCCAAGCACTTGGGTCATCATCCACTGCCTTCCCAGGTGCATTAGTAGGAAGCTAGATCAGAAGTGGAGCAGCCAGGACTTGAACCAGCGCTCATATGGATGTTGTAGGCAGTGCCCTTACCTGCTGTGCCATAACACTGGCCCCTCCGCCCTGTTTTTAAGCTTTATTTTATTTATTTGAAAGACAGTTACAGAGAGACAGAGACAGAGAGAGAGAGAGAAAGAGGTAGATCTATATATAGAGAGAGATCTTCCATTTGCTGATTTATTCCCCAAATGGGCACAGCGGCTGGGGCTAGGCCAGGCTGAAGCCAGGAGCCAGGAGCTTCATCCAGGTATCCTATGTGAGTGCAGGAGCCCAAGCATTTGGGCCAGGTTCATTAGCAGGGAGCCGGATTAGAAGCAGAGCAACTGGGACTTGAACTGGGGCCTATATGGGATGCTGGCATTACCTGTTAATCCAGGAAGGCTGGCTCCCCTTCCTTTCTTTTTTAAACAAAGATTATGACCATAATTTAAACTTCTAAAAATCAGATTTATCATTTAGAAAATCAGATTTTATTATTTTTAAATTTTTTTATTTATTTACATTTTACTTGAAAGCCAGAAAAAGATAGACAAACAAGTATTTTCTATCTCTTGGTTCACTCCTCAAATGCCTACAATAGCCAAGGCTGTGCCAGACTGAAGCTGGGAGCCATACCACCTAGGTCTCCCTTGTGGGTGCCAGGGACCCAGGGACTTGAGCCATTACCTACTACCTCTCAGGTGTTCATTAGCCGGAAGCTGGAATCTAGAGCAGCCAGGATTCAAACCCAGGCATTCCAGTATGGGATGTGAGTGTCCCAAGTGGTGTGTTAATTGCTGCTCTCAATGCCTGCCTCGAAGTCAGAGTTGTTTTGCTGCTATTCTCAGGTCCTGCCATGGAGTGCCTGGTTGTTTACCTATGTGTTTAATGTCCCAGCTGGTGATGTCTTTTGAGTTTCTTCTAATTTAGGTTCCTCGTTTGCCTGTAGGTTGGCTAAAGAGATAATTAGATGTTAGAATCAACACTGCACTGATGAAATGACTTTAATATATGAAATGAGAAAAGTATAGCTTAAGTATCCTGATCTGAAAATCTGAAATCCCCAATGCTCCAAAATCTGAAATGCATTGTTCCTCAACTTTGTACCACAAGTGGAAAATTCTACAGCTGACCTCATGATGGGTCACAGTCAAAATGCAGGTGTATTAGAATTTTATATAAAATTACCTTCTTTCTGTGTGTATAAGGTGTATGTGAAACAAACGGTAAATTTCATGTTAGACTTGAGTCCCATCTCCAGGATATCTCATGCATTTGCAGATATTCCAAAATTCAAAACACTTGTCCCAAGCATTTCAACCTGCATCGTGTTTTAGGTCTTCATTGGCTATTCAACATTATTTAACATTAGGAAAGTGTAATAAATCTGACTTGATTTGGATAAAGCATGTTAGATCAACTTCATTTTCTTATTTGCTCAATTTTTCTAAGGCTGCTGGTTGAAAGAATTGAGGTGAATGTAGTCTAGTTGATCTTCATGAAGGCTTTGGAAGACAAGTACCTTTCCTGACATCCAGGACCAAATTGTGTGGGCTGAGTGCCAAAATGATTTGTGGGGTTTTGGGAACTGCTTGAATTGCCATACCAAAGGATGACAGGTGAGGTATGGGCCTACCAGGAGCCTCTGGGGGCCTACCTCCTGCAATTGGAACAAAGCAAGCCCGTGCTGAAGTGAAGATCTAGAAGGCACACAACTGGGAATTGAAGACTGGTCTAGTGAGCTAAACCTCATACCATCATGAGCTATCATAGGGATAAATGAAAAGTAAAAAATACCAACAACATAAGTAGTTGCATAGCTTCGGAGCAACGTGTGTGAAGAGGATTTAAGGGTTTTATTTACCTGTAAGCTGTTTGAGTGTTTACTGAAAAACTAATGGTCAAGCTATGTGTCAGTCTGGGATGTGTGAGAAGTGTGGCAGTTTCCTGGGTGAGTTCCAGCATCCCCGGGATCCTTCTTATATCCTGGGCTTCACATGTCCAGACAGATGTAGAACAGACTGGTTTCTACAGTAGAATCAGAAGCAGTCAATCCACATTGCAAAGAACTTATGATTATTAGAAAGAAGGTTTGAAAGAACTAGGAGGCCGGCACTACGGCTCACTAGGCTAATCCTCCACCTTGCAGCGCCGGCACACCGGGTTCTAGTCCTGGTCGGGGCACCGGATTCTGTCCCAGTTGCCCCTCTTCCAGGCCAGCTCTCTGCTGTGGCCCGGGAGTACAGTGGAGGATTGCCCAGGTGCTTGGGCCCTGCACCCCATGGGAGACCAGGAGAAGCACCTGGCTCCTGCCTTTGGATCAGTGCAGTGCGCTGGCCACGGCGGCCATTGGAGGGTGAACCAATGGCAAAGGAAGACCTTTTTCTCTGTCTCTCTCTCTCACTGTCCACTCTGCCTGTCCAAAAAAAAAAAAAAAAAAAATTAACTAGGAGTGTGGTGGAATGAGGTGAAAAGTTCATGCCAAGATGGCCACTGACAACAGAAACTGCCTGGCAACAGTCCGTGATTGGATGGCTTCAGAAACCACATGACAATAGAGGAAACCACATGACAACAGAGCCTGACTGACGGCAGGCCGTGATTGCATGGTTTCAGAAACTGCCTGGCGACAAGAGCCTGACTGGCAACAGGCTGTGATTGGATGGCTTTGGAAACTGCTTGGCAACAGGCTGTGATTGGTTTGGGCATAGACCGCCCCTTGACTGGATTGGCTGGTCTTGGCCATATAAGCTGTTGTACCAACTGAAATAAAAGGAGTTTGCGGGCTGCTCGCCTCAGGCCTGCTTTCACCCGACTCCCGGAGTCTGTCTGGTGACTCCATGCATATTGCCCCCACCACGCTCCTCCTCTCAGAAATGAATCCACTGCTACATTGTTGAGAAATCAACTGCAACATCGGGGTGTTTAACCATGAAAAGAGATTTGGGGACCTGCTGCAAGGGGCTGCTGCATCTGACTCCCTGGAGGACAGTGCTGGCCAGTATTAGGAGGACCCTGTGCCAGCCCAGAGAGGGAGGCTTCCTGTCCCCAAGAGCCGATGGGGTGACCACTTGGCACAGTTGTTGTGGAGAAATGTATCAGATATGGGGTTGGTCAGGATAATGCCTAAAGTTCCTTCTGATTCTAAGTTAGTTCTGTGATATTTATAAATTTTTGTGATATTTAGGTGTTTTCTGTTTTTTTTTTTTTTGTTTGTTTATTATAGATTTTGGAGGCACTTTTACAGGTTTTACATGTTCTTTTGGGAATGTGCCAGGCCTTGGAGATTCAAGAAAAAGGTATGATTCCAGATTTAAGCCTTAAGGCTTAATTTTTTAAAATTTAATGTTTATTTAAGAGGCAGGAAGAAAGAGAGCGAGAAATCCCATCTGCTAGTTCACTCCCCAAGTGCCTGTAATGGCTGGGGCCGGAGCCTGGAGCACATTCCAAGTCTGTCGTGGGGTGGCAGGACCCATATACCTGAGCCGTCACCTGAGCATTAACAGAAAGCTGGAGTCAGGAGTCTGCACTGAGACTCACTCGGACTGATGTGAGACGTGGTCATCTTCAACCAGGCCAAATGCATGCTCTCTATAGCTTTTTAAGTGTTGGGGTTCTTCTGTTCTTCAGTGCCTATATGTGTTCCTGATTGTAGAACACTTTTCAATAGTAGGTGGCTCCAGTTGTGTGTTAGTAGATTCAGAGCTCATACAAGGTCATGAGCACAGCTCTACTACCTAAAATCTGGGTGACCTTGGATCAGTAACTTCACTCTTTCTTCACTTACCACATGTGTGGTCAGAGTTGACCTCCAGAAGTCACTTTTCCTATGGTGTAAGGCTGCTAATGTGACCCTAAGAAGTCTAAGTACATTAATTAGGTAATGGACCTGATATGTGACCTAGCTGTTATTGATTTGTGTGTACCATGACTAGGTCAAGACTTTCCAAGGAGAGCAGCTAGCTGTGTGGGGTAGACACTTAGTCTGAAGTTGTTGTTAATGACAGGTTGAAAATACCACATCACCTTGGGAGTTAAAGCTCTTATTGTGGCTTATTCTGAGCCTTCCTATTTTTAGTGGGTGAAATGTTAGTACATTACAAGTTGGTACAGTAGGGGTCTCTTACAGGTGACTTTCTCATATTGTAACATTCTCACTTGACCTTCTAGAATACCTTTGCAAGTATGCAATACCCTGCCTGATAGGAATCTCACGAGCGTTTGGACGCTACAGCAACACGGACGAGTCTCTCCTCTCAAAGCTCTTTCCCAAAGTCCCTCCTCACTCCCTCCGTGTCCCAGAAGAGCTCGAAGGTGTCCGGAGGCGTTCCTTCAATGACTTCCGCTCCATCCTCCCCAGCAATCTGCTGACTGTCTGTCAGGAGGGAACCCTGAAGAGAAAAACCAGCAGTGTGTCTAGCATCTCCCAGGTGAGGCTGCACTCCTGGGAGAAGACCTCAACCGTGCTCGTGCGAAGAGCAGCCCACGTCTGTGTAGTTTGAGGAAACTGAAGAAACACAGAAGGTTCTCTTCAGAATTCACTTTAATTCAGAGGCTCACTTTGAACTTTTTAAGATCCACAAGTGATGTTGTAGCTATGAAGTATCTGCTTCATAGCATTTGGGTGCCAAAGTCTATTCTAAGTGGGAAATCTTGGTGCCCTTAAGAAGTACCTAATTGACTCATGGAGAAAAGGTGAAAGTGCAAAACACTGAGAAGAGTGCAGCTTAGTAGTAAAGTATAAAATGCATGACTGGACACAGAAAATTTTTCAGTACAGTAGGTGGTAGCCAGTGCGCAATCTGATCTCTGCTGTGTCTGTGTTTCAGGTCAGCCCCGAGCGTGGCATGCCCCCTCCCGGCTCGCCTGGAGGATCCGCCTTTCACTACTTTGAAGGTGGGTCTCCCCTCCCTGCCCGGAGTCTTGACCCAGCACTCGCATAGCAAGTGCACAGTGACTTCTTGTGATGCTGAAGATCTCTACGCTTTGTGGATCTAGAATGGCGAGCTTTTGGAAAGCACTTATCTTCTGTGTTCATTTAAATTTCTTAAAATGTAGTTTTCAGTTATTTTCTGTAGTGACAAAAGTGCAGAAAGTAGCCTCCAGACCTTCATATGCCTGCTATCAGAGTTTCCATACATTAACTTGTGAAAGCAGTGGTTTTCAGGTAGAGGTGCTAATAGTGTGTACTTCGTAAAGGGTCATTAAGTATGTAGATACAATTAAATAACACAGTAATCCTACAGTAGTAGGTTTTTAATGAGCTTTGCTGTTCATAAAGTGCTTTTGCATAGTTTCCTGGGTTTGATCCGTGTGGCCACCCTGTGATCCTATGCATGTTAAAATTACTTCGACTCTATCCTGGAGGGTAGGCCAGATTGAGTGGTAGTGCCTGGGAAGCCAGGACTCCGTGCTTCGTTCTGCAGTCCTTTCTGTTTCTGGATGATGTTCATTGCCGGAAGAGCACGGTTCAAGATGGTCTTCACAGTTCTGAGGAGAATTTTTAAAATGGGGGGAGTGTCTGAGCTTAGATAAATCTGGTAGCTTTGTATGCACTGCCTCTCACTCGGTTTATATGTTAGAATATAAGGATGAATTTAACCACTCAGAATCCCACCTCTCCGAGAGAACTACTCGTCCAAGTGTAGAACACAGTTAATGTCAACCACAGACTGAAAATGTCATTAGGCGTATGACGGTTACGTGTGGACTGTACATACATACGCTTCAGACGTCTTTTCCTTTATTTTTTAAGGATGTAAACTTTAAATTTGTGTTTATTTGATAGGCAGACACATACACGCACATATACCCAGCACCCATCTGCTGGTTCATTCCCCAAATGGCCTCAATGGCCAAGTCTGGGCCAGGCTGAAGCCAGGAGCTTGGAAGTCAATCCAGATTTCCCATGTGGGTAACAAGAACCCGAGTACTTGAGCCATCTCCTATTGCCTCCCCAGGTGCATATCAGCAGGAAGCTGAAATCAGGAGTGAGGCTGGACTCGAACCTAAGCACACCAGTGTTTTTACTGTGAGGCCAAACACCCATCCTTGGACTTACTTTTCTTCTCATTATTCCCTAACCAGTACAGGGTAACTATTTATGTAGCATTTATATTGTATTAGGTATTATAAGTAACCTAGAAATGATTTAAGGTAGATGAAGGATGTGCATGGGTTACATGCAAATAATATGCCATTCTAAGTAAGGGACTTGAGCATCCATCAATTTTGGTATCTGAGGGAGGTCTCAGAACCAGTCACTGTCTATTCCTCCAGGCTCTTAGAACTCCTTTGCCACCTGCCTGCTGTTGGGGTATGTGAGCACAACCATGAGCAAGCTGACAGCTTCTCTTTCCCTGGCAAGCCACTCTTCATCCACCTTCAGGGTCAAGGGCCCCATCCATAGCAGCTGCCCTCCTTAAGTGCACCCAGTAAATGGCCAGATCGGCTCACACTCAGAGGCGGCTGTCTGTGTCAGCCCCGTGTGTCCCCTTCAGCAGATCCAGCCACCGTCCGGTCTGTGGTGGTGATGGAGGGCTGCGTGCCTGCCCTCTGAAGTGCATCACATTGGAGCTGTAAGCACTGCTCCTTCTGTATTTGCTCACATGCCTTTAAAAGATTTAAATGATTTTTGTATTTTAATTTTAATTTTTTAAAGATTTAGTTATGTATTTGAAAGGCAGAGTTACAGAGAGGGAGAAAGGGAGACAGAGAGATCTTCCATTTGCTCTTTCACTCCCCAGATGGCTACAATGGCTAGGGGTAGGCCAGGCTGAAGCCAGAGGCCAGGAATTTCATCCAGGCCTTCCATGTGGGTGTAGGAGCCCAAGCACTTGGGCCATCTCCCGCTGCTTTCCCAGGAGCATTAGCAGGGAGCCAGATCACAAGCAAAGCAGCTGGGCCGATATGGGATGCTGGCACTGCAGGTGATGGCTTAACCCACTGCGCCATAGTGTCAACCCCAAGAATTATTTTTTAAAGCAAAAAATATAATCGTTTACTTAAAAAAATATTTATTTATTTATTTGAAAGGCAGAGTTACAGAGAGGCAAAGCCAGAGGCAGAGAGAGAGAGAGAGAGAGAGAGAGAGAGAGGTATTCCATCTATTCCATCTACTGGTTCACTCCCCAGATGGATGCAATGGCCAGGGCTGGGTCATGCTGAAGCCAGGAGCTAGGAACTTCTTACATGTCTCCCATGTGGGTGCAGGGGCCCAAGGACTTGAGTCATCCTCTACTGCTTTCCCAGGCACATCAGTAGGGAGCTGGATCAGAAGTGGAGCAGCTGAGACTCGAACCAGTGTCCATATGGGATGCTGCCATGGTTGGAGCTGGGCCAATCTGAAGCCAGGAACCAGGAGCCAGGAGCAGCCAGTTCTCACACTGGCACCCATGTGGGATGCTGGCACTGTAGGCAGCAGCTTTACCAGCTATGCCACTGTACCAGTCCCAGTGCTGTCATCCCATATGGGTGCCGGTTCTAGTCCTGGCTGCTTCTGTTCCAAGCCAGCTCTCTGCTATGGCCTGGGAAATCAGTAGAAGATGGCCCATGTGCTTCAGCCCCTGCACCCGTGTGGGAGACCTAGAAGAAGCTCCCGGCTCCTGGTTTTGGATCAGCCCAGCTCCGGCTGTCGCTGCCATTTGAGGAGTGAACCAGTGGAAGGAAGACCTCTCGCTATGTCTCTCCCTCTCACTGTCTGTAACTTCACCTCTCAAATAAATAAATAAAATGTTTTTTAAAAAATTTATTTATTTGAGAGGTAGAGAGACAGAGAAAGAGAATTCCTGTCCACTGATTGAGTCCCTATTTGCCTACAATGACCAAGGCTGGAGCTGGGAGCCAAGAACACAGAGATACTTAGATTGCAGGAACCTAATTACTTGAACCCATCATTGCTGCTTCCCAGAGTCTGCGTCAGCAGGAAGCTGGAGTCAGGAACCAGAGCTGAACATCAAATCCAGGCGCTCAGGTTGGGAGGCAGGTCACCCACATGGGAGACCTGGAAGAAGCTGCTGGCTCCTGGCTTCAGCGTGGACCAGCTCTGGCCATTGCAGCCATTAGCTGCTAGGCCGAATGCCTGAGCTGCCACCTACACTGTTTAAGCTGGCTCTTCTCTCCACCCTGCATTTGTTCCCTCCCTCAGTGGCCGTTTCTCAGGCTGGCCTTTCAGGGTGCCAGCTCCTCATATTGCAGTCCGCCCCTTCTGTTGTAAGCTGCTGATGTGTGGCCATCATTGGTGAGGTTGGCAAGGAATCCACAGCAGCACAGAACACATCCCAGAACTGACACAATCAGGGCTGAATATATGTCGCTCCCCGTCTTCATGGAGGAACGACACTAAACCCTGCGCTGTTCTTTTGTCTGCTCGGCCCTCCCCGGGTTTGCTGCTGGTTCTTCCTGGGTTGGCTACCGTCCCTTCCACCTCCGTGGAAGGGCGGTTCCCCCTAGCCACTTTCCCCACTTCCGCGGGGGAGCGGCACACCGCCGGCCGGCTCTCTCGGGGGCTGCACAGGTGTTCCTTCAGATAGATGTTCCTGGTGCATGTTGTCTCTCTCCTCCTTTATAGTCCTCTTCCACCAATCCCAACTCTGCTACCCACACGCCGAGTACGCTGCTCTCCTCCAATCAGGAGTAGGTCCTACAGTTTATTGGTTGAACTGGAGGCAGCTGTGTAGAAGCTGTTTCTTCCCTTCTCAGCGCCATATTGTGGGAGAGCAGATGCATAGAATAAGTCTTAATTCCAGTAACTTAGTCTAGTCCGAGTTGCTCCCCACAATATAGAACACTTTTTTATGCGCTAGTATTTGAAAGTCATGAGATTTTATTATTTTTTTATAGATAGATAGGGTCTGTCATTACTTAATAGGAAAATAGTAAAAATTTATTTTTCCAGTCCTAGTTTTCGATTATAATGTTTAATGTGGATATTCAAATAATTATTTTTGGTCCCCCCCCCCTTTTTTTTTTGAAAGACTTAGTGACAGACACAGAGAGAGCTATCTTCCATCCACTGGTTCACTCCCCAGATGGCCAGGCTGGACCAGGCCAAACTCCACCTGGGCCTCGGATGTGGATGGCAGGGCCCAAGTACGTGGGCCATGTTTTGCTGCTTTCACAGGTACATTAGCAGAGAGCCAGATCAGAAGTCTGAACTCGTGCTCAGATATGGAATGTTGGGATCATAAGTGGGGGAGCTTAGCCCTCTGTGCCACAATCCAGCCCCACTTTTGGGTTCTTACTTGTTAAATAAGCATTAGACTGATTGGCTTTCTTTTGTTCTGGTTTTTTGCTTCGATTTTTTTCTATTACAGTAAAATACACCTAATGTAGAACTTCCATGTTAACCATTTAAAAATGCTAGATGCATCAATAACATTGTGCAGCTATCACCACAGTCCATCTCCAGAATTCTTTCCATCTTGTAAAATTGAAACTCTGCAAGCATTAGACAGTAATTCCCTGCTTCTGCCTCCGCCTTGGCTCCAGGCAACCCCCATCCTGCCATCTCTTTTCATCTGACTACTATGAATGCCTGGTGTGTTGTTTATATATGTAGGTCATGTTGTATTTGTCTTTTTGTGACTGACTTACTAGTTCTGATGTTGAATCTTCTGGTAGTATGTACTTTTTTATTTTTTTTCCTAATTTTGGGATAAAATATGTTTGAGGCCCTGAAGACCCTGAACTTTGACATCTCCCAGACTTAAATACAAGCAAACAAACAAAAATATGTAATTTTTGCCCTTTTCCCACATGGAACGTTGTCTGGGCAGAAAACACTGGGACATGATCATATCTGAGCCCCTTGACCTGAAACACTCAGGTCAGAGGTGTTGTTTCCCAAGGATTTGCAACCCAGCCTTTACTTCTTAATTTACAAACAAGCAAGGGATTAGATTCTAAACAACAGCAAAATCTGCGCCTTTGTTGGTTATTCAGGGAATCAGCTTGCAAAAGTGTCCTAGTTGTGTGTGGCCATGGCTAACTTCACGGTTTTTTTTTTCTCCCACCAGCCTCTTGCTTGCCTGACGGGACTGCCCTGGAGCCCGAGTACTACTTCTCCACCATCAGTTCCAGTTTCTCAGTCCCTCCCCTGTTCAACGGCATCACCTATAAGGAGTTCAGTATTCCACTAGAAATGCTGCGGGAGCTCTTAAACTTGGTAAGCAGAGCAGCCCTGGGTGAACCGACTGTGGGGATATCTGTCAGTGAAATGGCCAGTGGGGAAAGCCTGTATTAAAAAAAAAAAAGGATTTATTTATTTATTATTAGTTATATATAATACATTAATATATTATTAATATTAACAAATATTTATTTATTTGAAAGGCAGTTACAGAGAGGTAGAGCCAGAGAGAGAGAGAGAGTGGTTTTCCATCTACTGGTTCACCTACCTCCCAAATGGCCCCAACGGCCAGAGCTAGGCCAATCTGAAGCCAGGAGTTTCTTCTGGGTCTCCCATGTAGATGCAGGGGCCCAAGCACTTGGGCCATCTTCCACTGCTTTCTCAGGAACACTAGCAGGGAGCTGGATCGCAAGTGGAGCAGCTGGGACTCGAACCTGTGCCCATATGGGATGCCGGCACTGCAGATGGGGCTTCACCTGCTACACAACAGTGTCAGTCCCAGCCTGTAATTTTTTTTTTTGTTTGTTTGTTTGTTTGTTTGTTTGGTTTTTTTTTTTTGTTTTTTTTTTTTGTTTTTTGTTTTTTTTTTTTTGACAGGCAGAGTGGACAGTGAGAGAGAGAGACAGAGAGAAAGGTCTTCCTTTTTGCCGGTGGTTCACCCTCCAATGGCCGCCGCGGCTGGCGCGCTGCGGCCAGCGCACCGCGCTGATCCGAAGCCAGGAGCCAGGTGCTTCTCCTGGTCTCCCATGGGGTGCAGGGCCCAAGCACTTGGGCCATCCTCCACTGCACTCCCTGGCCACAGCAGAGAGCTGGCCTGGAAGAGGGGCAACCGGGACAGAATCCAGCGCCCTGACCGGGACTAGAACCCGGTGTGCCGGCGCCGCAAGGCGGAGGATTAGCCTAGTGAGCCGCGGCGCCGGCCCCAGCCTGTAATTTTTTTTAACGTTTGCTTGTTTATTTTTGTTTGCTTGAAAGAATGACAAAGATAAAGAGACAAAGAGAAATCTTCCATCTGCTGGGTTACTCCCCAAATGCCCACAGGGCTAGGGTAGGCCAAGCCGAAGTGGGAAGCCAAGAATTCTATCCAGGTCTCCCACATGGGTAGCATGGACTCAAGTACTCAGGTGTGCATGCACATTAGCAGGAAGCTGGATTGGAAGCAGAATGCCCAGGGTTCAAACAGGTCGCTCTGATATGGGATGTGGGTGTCTCAAATGGTAGCTTAACCTGCTGTTCCCCAGTGCTTGCTCCAAGCCTGTATTTTCTTTCTTTCCTTTTTTTTCCTCCCTTGGTTAATTTATTTTGTTTATTTGAAAGGCAGATTTAGAAAGAGAGGGAGAGAAAGAGGTATCTTTGTCTACTGGTTCACTCCCTAATTGACCAAAACAGCTGGGGCTGGGCCAGGCTAAAGCCAGGAATCAGGCGCTTCATCTTGGTCTCCCATGTGGGTGCAGGGGCCCAAGGACTTGGGCCATCTTCTACTGCTTTCCTAGTTCCATTAGCAGTGAGCTAGATTGGAAGTGGAACAGTCAGGACTTGAACCAGCACCCATATAGGATGTTGGCCTTGTAGGTGGCAGCTTAACACATTAAAAAAAAAAAAAAAAAAAAAAAAAGATTTGAAAGACAGAGTTAGACACAGAGACAGACAGAAAGAGGGAGAAAGAGAGCTTGTCCATCCACTGGTTCACTCCCCAGATGGCTGCAATGGCTGGAGCTGGACCAGATTGAAGCCAGGAGCTTCTTCCAGGTCTCCCATATGGATAGCAGGGGCCCAAGCATGTAGGCAATCTTCTGCTGTTTCCCAGGCGCATTAGCAGGAGCAGGATCAGAAGCAGAGCAGCCGGGACTTGAACCGGTGCCCATGTGGGATGCCAGCGTCCAAGGTGGTAGCTTAGTCTGCTGCACCGCCTGCCGGCCCCAGCTTCACACATTATGCCATGATGCTGGCACCCAAGCCTGAATTTTTCAAAAGAAAAACTCAACGTACAGGTTGAATGTCCTTTTCCCAAAGTACTTGCGGAAGTGTTTTAGATTTTGGATTTTTTCAGATTTTGGAATTTTGCATAAACATATCTTGAGGATGGAACCCAAGTCCAAACACAAAATTCTTTATATTTTATATATACTTTATACACATGGGCTGAGGGTAGTTTTATACAGGATTTGTAATCATTTTGTTGGACTCATTGTAGGAAGTCTGGTGTGGTATATTCCACTTGCATTGTCATATTAATACCCAAAAAGCCTTGAATTTTAGAGCATTTCAGATTTTGGATTTTCAGGTTATTTCAAAGTCCTATTTTGCAGTCTCGAATACTTAGGTTAAAGAAGGAGAATAACATTCATGGAGATACTTTTCACTTTGGATTTTTATAGTGAGCATGCGGGAAGGCCCTGTGCATCCCCGTGTAGAGATGAGGAAATCGATGGCAAACACTCAAGTGTATGCCGGCCCAGGGCAGGGCTGGGTGCAGTCCAGTGATTCCCCCTTAGGGGTTGCTCTTATCTGGATTAATGCAAAATCTGACTTTTTCATATTTGGCCGCCCCGGACAACCTTTGGGGTGATGTCAGAGAAGACTTGAGTGCTGTTATCTGGATCCTGAAATAAAATCTGTGGTCATTTCCAAGGGTTCTGAAGTTGTGATGGAGCTGAGATGGTGTAAGGCAGATCTGAGCAGATGGGGTGGTAGCACATCGAGGACAGACTAAAAATGGGGCTTTTAGGGATGGGCGACGTGCCAAATTAAGTTGCTGCTTGGGGTGCCTGCATCCTGTATCAGAGTGCTGGTTCAAGTCCTGGCACCTCCACTTCCTCTTCTTCTTCTTTTTTTTTTTTTTTGACAGGCAAAGTGGACAGTGAGAGAGAGAGAGAGAGAAAGGTCTTCCTTTTGCCGTTGGTTCACCCTCCAATGGCCGCCGCGGCCAGCGCGCTGTGGCTGGCACACCGTGCTGATCCGAAGGCAGGAGCCAGGTACTTATCCTGGTCTCCCCTGGGCTTCAGGGCCCAAGCACTTGGGCCATCCTCCACTGCACTCCCTGGCCACAGCAGAGAGCTGGCCTGGAAGAGGGGCGACTGGGACAGAATCTGGCGCCCCGACCAGGACTAGAACCCGGGGTGCCGGTGCCGCAAGGCGGAGGATTAGCCTAGTGAGCCGCGGCGCGGGCCTGGCACCTCCCCTTCTGATCCAGCTTCTATTCATGCATCCTGAGAGACATCAGATGAGTTTCAAGTGCTTGGGCCCTGCCACTCACTTGGGAAATCCAGATGGAGTTCCTGGTTCCTGACTTCAACCAGACCTAGGCCTGATTGTTATAGGCATTTGGGGAGTGAACCAGCAGATGGAAGATTCTCTCTCTGTCTCTGCATCTGCCTCTTGCTCTGCTTTTCAAGTGGATGAAAATAAATAAACATTTTGAAAAAATAAATAAAGTCAGGCTTTAGTGGTTAAGACACCTGTGTCCCATGTTAGAGTGCTTAGGTTCAATTCTCAGCTCCAACTCTCTGGATTTTAGCTTCCTGCTAATGCAGACACTGGGAGGCGTCAGTGATGATTCAAGGCATTGGATTCCTGACATCCGCGTGGGAGACCTGTGTCGAGTTTCCAGCTCCTGGGTTTGGCCCTGGCCCAGTCGGAGTTGTTGCGGGCATTTGGGGAGTGAACCAATGGATGAGAGCTAGCTGTCTCTGCCTCTCTCTTCTGGTTTGTGCTTTCTTTAAGAAAGTGCTTAATTTCTCCTGGCATGTGATCCCTGTCTTCAGCAAATACAACAGCTGTGGGGCAGGGCAGTTTTTACCAGGTGGTTCTGCAGTTGACAGACAGTTCATTCCCATACTAAACGCTGTACAGAACAGGTGAAAACGATTGCTTCTGGCCAGCGCCGCAGCTCACTAGGTTAATCCTCCGCCTGCGGCACCAGCACACCGGGTTCTAGTCCTGGTCGGGGCACCGGATTCTGTCCCGGTTGCTCCTCTTCCAGTCCAGCTCTCTGCTGTGGCCCGGGAGTGCAGTGGAGGATGGCCCAGGTCCTTGGGCCCTGCACCCGCATGGGAGACCAGGAGAAGCACCTGGCTCCTGCCTTTGGATCAGCGCGGTGCACCGGCTGCAGTGGCCATTGTGGGGTGAACCAACGGAAAAGGAAGACCTTTCTCTCTGTCTCTCTCACTCTCCACTCTGCCTGTCCAACAACAACAACAACAACAACACAATTGCTTCTGTTAAGAATTTAAAACCTGTGCTCTAGTATGAGTACCTGGGAAGCTTTGGCAGAGCTGTCACTGCCCAAGGGCTGTCTGAGGGGGTGGCCTGGACAAGTAGGAGGGGTCTGAGGGTGGCTGTCACACAGCTGTGCTTGCTAACTGCAAGTGGCTGAAATGGCAGCAGTGCCTGGAGTCTGAACACTTCCACTTCCTAGAGATGAGACTCTGACCCAACCAGTTTGAGGGCTCCTTTTCTGTTTCTATGTCCTGTCTATCATGGTATGGGAAGAAGTCACATGTGATGATTTGGTGTGTCACTGTGATTTGTGTAGTTGTGTGTTGTTGGCTTGTTATTTCCATCACATTTTTGTGCTGAGGGTTTTTTTCTTTTTCTTCTTCTTCTTCTTCTTTAATATTTTTATTTATTTGAAGGCGTCACAGAGAGAGAGAGAGAGAGAGATTTTTCCATCTGCTGGTTCACTCTCCAAATGGCCACAATGGCCAGGGCTGGATCAGCCCAAAGCCAGGAGCCGGGAGCTTCTTCCACGTCTCCGAAGGGAATGCAGGGGCCCAAGGACTTGGGCCATCTTCCGTTGCTTTCCCAGGCCATAGCAGAGAGCTGGATCAGAAGAGGAGCAGCTGGTTCTTGAATTGATGTCACAGGCGGCAGCTTTATCTGCTACACTACACCTCCCCACCCCCCTACCCCCCTTTGTTTTTTCTATTGATGACTTATCCTTGGCAAACTGAAGTTGCCTCATGGGACTCTGTTTCGCTGATAGGTGAAGAAGATTGTCGAGGAACCTGTTCTCAAATCCCTGGATGCAGTTGTGACCTGCGTGATGGAGGTACGGCCCTTCTGAGGGCACTGCCCCAAGGTCAGCCTGTTTTCCGTTTCTTATGTGGACCAAGCAGGAGGAGTTGATGCAGGGAGCCAGAGGGAAAAGGGTTTGGCACTGAGTTTTCATTTTAACTTCTCTAGTCCTGTGTGATAGCAACACACGTGCCACCTGAGCCACAGGTGGCTCTTGTAAATGCATCACCTCACAGTGCCTCTGGCCGGTGGTCAGTGTCTCCCTTTCACACCTGGAAGGTACAGGGGATACACACTAGTGTGCCCACGTCATACAGTTACCGTGGGAACTAGCAGTCTAGCTGGGCCTGTCCCTTCCATCTTCCTTGCTCCTTTCATGTTTCCAAAGCTGCTTCTCTGGGCTTGGAACTACGTTTTCTAGGTACATACAGGCCCTGGCATTTAAGTGTAGGGTGTGTAGCTAGGGAACTTTTGTCTTTAATGTATTTGCCGCCAAGGCCCCAACATTGTTTATGAAGTCATTACATGCTGGTGCTGGGAGATCTTAATGTCTCAGGGGACATTTGGGGCAGGGCCCTTTGAGGGCAGGGCCCAGAGACACTGCTGTTTGCCAGGCTGGATCTTGCCATGGGTGTGACTTGACCCAGGTCCCTTGGTTGATCGGTGTTTTCTCCCTCCTGAGCATGAGACACACAGTGCCTGGTACCGCTGGGGCCCATGTCTGAAGTAGGGCAGGAACTGGCAAGAGCCCTCTTGTGCTGCAGCTCATGTCCCCTCCTCCCCTGCCCCTGCCAGCAAGTTTCTGGCAGCTGGCAGATGCGTGTGCTGGCTGTGATTTGCTGTGCTTGGTTCTTGGATAAGACACTGTTCATTTAACTCCAGGTTGCAGTCTGTCATTTCCTACCTCCCTGCAGGCTGTTGTGCTGTACATTGGCCAGTGAGCTCTTTCACCCTCTCCCTCTATGCCTGTAGTCTCAGAGGCTCTCAATTACCTTAGTCAGTGTGTGATCACGTGGGATCCAGGGCAGGCCAGGAAGGCCAGGGCCAGGAATTCAGCACCTGAAGACTTGCTGGCTCCACTCATCTCTGCTGAGGAGAGTCAGTCTGTCGCTCCCCCTCTTCGTGGAGGAACGACACAGGACCCTGCACTGTTCTTTCGTCTGCTCGGCCCTCCCCGGGTTTGCTGCTGGTTCTTCCCGGGTTGGCTACCATCCCTTCCACCTCCGTGGAAGGGCAGTTCCCCCTGGCCACATTCCCCACTTCCGCAGGGGAGCGGCACACCGCCGGCCGGCTTTCTCGGGGGCTGCACAGGTGTTCCCTTAGATGTTCCCCTTAGATGTTCCTGGTGCATGCCGTCTCTCTCCTCCTTTATAGTCCTCCTCCGCCAATCCTAACTCGGCTGCCCACACGCCGAGTACGCTGCTCTCCAATCAGGAGCAAGTCCTACAGTTTATTGGTTGAACTGGAGGCAGCTGTGTAAAAGCTGTTTTCTTCTCTCCCAGCGCCATATTGTGGGGGAGCAGATGCATAGAATAAGTCTTAATTTCAGTAACTTAGTCCAGTCCGGATTGCTCCCCACATCAGTCTTGATACTAAGGGCAGAGTTGGGGCTCTGTGGGGATGCCCTTCAGGACTTGTCTATGGACAGAGAACTGTGAGACCCTATGCCCTGAACAAGGCAGTTTCTGGTATTTTTGTTTTATAGTTGGGATTTCAGTATACATATCCATTTGAAGAAATTGTTTGGGGACTAAAAAAAAATCCTGACTAGAGTCACCACAGTGTATCATTATCCATAAATACTGTAGCAGTCACTAACAACTGTGTGTGCTAACTGTGTGCAAAACATTTGATAAGACTTCGCTCATTTGCTTCTAGAATCCCACAACAACAAACCCAGTTTATAGATGGGGAAACTGAGGCTTACAGGGAGCTGAGGAACTTGAATTACATAGCTAGTGAGTGATGGAGCTGAGCTGTTGGATTGTTGGACTCCAAAGCCCTCAAGCTTCCTTCTGTCCTGGATTCCTGGAATCTGACCTTGTGCCACCTTCACCTCTCCTGGTCCTGCTTCTTCATCCCTGCCCTGCGGGGGTGTTGTGAGGACCGTGTGTCTGCAGACAGCTTCTGTGGCACCCATCAACTTGCACTTGGCCTAGCAGCTGCTCTTCCTGTCAGTGCAGCCCCCGGAAACCAGTCCAGTGTGACCTCACTCACAACCCCCGCAACCCTCCACCAGCCTTATACTGCAGGTCCCTTCCTGTCCCACCCAGCCTCCACCCCTTCTGCACGTTTGCATGTGTCAAGACTTGTAATGAACCATGCCTTTCTGTCCTGCTAAGTGGGGCATGAACAGAAGCTAAGGGCTGCATCTTATGTAACTCATGAGACCTTGTGTGGAATTTTTCCCCAGAGAAAGAACAGTGCCGCATTTCAGAATTGTTTGCCAAAGATTAATCTAAAATGAGTGTTAATTACAAAACATGAGCTGAATCTGAAGGGTCCTGGCTGTAGTCTCTCTGGGGTGATAGGGTGGGTAAGTCCCTGGGTCTGGTGGCCCTTGGCTGTCTTTCTCCTCCTCTTTCCATGTCCCTGTTTGGACCAAAGAAGACTAAAGATGGTTTTAAGTGACAGGAAGGCAGCTCTTTCTTCCAGGGCAGATGGCTGTTCCCCTGCAGGCCTCTCTGGACTGTGAGAGCCTCCTGTTTCCTTGGCCTCATGCTTTCCTGCTGAGGAGAAAAGCCAAGGTGTCCAAGTGATGAGTCAGGATCAGCGGTTTTTCCATTTAGAACGCTAGGTCTTGGGTATAAGTGTTACTCAGTGGGACGTGGACATGCAGGGACAAGGGTGGTTAGCAGAGGGTTTCTGAAGTGTGGTCACTGCCCCTGCCTCCCCCACAGGCCAACCCCAGCGCTGATCTCTACTACACCAGCTTCAGCGACCCCCTCTACCTGACCATGTTCAAGATGCTGCGCGACACTCTGTACTACATGAAGGGTGAGGACTCCTGGCGCACACGCCTCTGAGGGTGGGGTGGCAGGTTCCCAGGCCACTTTCTGCTGGAGCTGCGTGAGACACACAGAAGAGCTACATGGTCACGTGAATGACATTTTGTGGGGGAAAAATAGGAGAAAAGATCTGTCCATGGTCCTGTGACCCCAGGACCATCAATAATGGCTTCCCTGATAGATTTATTTAAGGTGCTTCTCTAACATGTACATGTATATATTGTACATATACAAATATCGGTACATGTTCTCTTTAGATATTTTAGAACGTAAGAAAGTGGGGCACTCATAGTCTAAAACTCAGAGATAAGGACCAGTCTGTGGCACAGTGGGTTAAACCACCACCTGCAATATCAGTATCCCATTATCAGAACACCAGTTCAAGCCCTGGCTACTCTGCTTCCAACCCAGCCCCTCACTCCACCCCCACCACCACCAATGTGCCTGGGAAGCGGCAGAAGATGGTCCAAGTGCTTGGGCACCTGTTCCTGCCACTGATATGGGAGACCTAGATGGAGTTCCAGGCTCCTTGCTTTGGCCTGGTCTAGCTCTGGCTGTTGTGACCATGTAGGAAATAAACCAGCAAGTCGAAGATACCTCTCTTTCTCAGTCTCTCCCTCTCTGTCACTCTGCCTTTCAAATAAATCTTTAAAAAAAAAAAAAAATCCTGAGAGGTAATATCTTTTTTTTTTTTTTTTTTTTTTTTTGACAGGCAGAGTGAACAGTGAGAGAGAGAGAGACAGAGAGAAAGGTCTTCCTTTTGCCATTGGTTCACCCTCCAATGCCCGCCGCGGCCGGCGCACTGCGCTGATCCGAAGGCAGGAGCCAGGTGCTTCTCCTGGTCTCCCATGGGGTGCAGGGCCCAAGCACTTGGGCCATCCCCCACTGCACTCCCTGGCCACAGCAGAGAGCTGGCCTGGAAGAGGGGCAACCAGGGCAGAATCCGGCATCCCGACCGGGACTAGAACCCGGTGTGCCGGCGCCGCTAGGTGGAGGATTAGCCTGTTGAGCCACAGCGCCGGCCAAGAGATAATATCTTAATACCTTAGTATTCTTTTCAGTGTATTTTCTGTGCTTTTTTTTTTTTTTTTTTTAATTCAAGAGACAGAAAGACAGCAAGAAAGAGAAACAGGAAGACAGGGCTCCCATCTGCTGGTTCACTCCCCAAGAGCCAGGACTGGTCTGGGCCAAAGACAAGAACAAAGAACTCAGTCCAGGTCTCCCACATGGCAGGAGGGACACAACTACTTGCCATTCCCACGGTCTGTAGCGATAGGATCTGGAATCAGGACTGGAGCTGGGAATCAAACTCAGGCACTCTGAGAGTAGACACAGGGGACTTAACCACTAGGCCAAATGCCCACCCCTCTTGGCATTTTTAAAAACATTTTTTCCTGTGTTCTTCCCTCATGCTTTTGAGTGTTCTTTATGGACATAAATTTTGATGCCCCCCTAATATTTTGTCATGTAGATATTCTAAAATTTAGCTAACTCCTTGCTAATCTGATTCTCAGTGTCACTCAGGAGAGGCTTCAGGAATTTCTTGGCCAAGCCTGGCCTCCTGGAGGCTCTGAGTCCTCCCCTCTTGCCCATGTCTGTGTCTGGCTTCCTAGGCTGATCTGGCTTATCCATCAGAGTGACTGTCCTGAACTTCCAGACTCCAGGATGAGAGTTGGAGGAGTCTATGAACTCCAGGTGCTCCAAAGATCCAGAGAATTCTCTCCTTTGGGCTGCAGTCAGTTTTTACCCCTGATAACTGACTGACAATCTTTCTTTTCTAAACATTGCTAAACTTTCCTGTTGTCAGGCGAACCAATTCCAGAATGACACCCCCCAGTTTATGTGTTCATATGTTCAGGTTTTAGTGTTTTGGCTGCTTAAAGCATGTGGCTCTGACTTCCCTGGCCAGTCATGTGCTCTGACTGCCAGGTAGGGTGCATGTGCAGGACCACTGTGCATGGCCCATCCACGCCCTTTCTGAGGGTGTTCTGCCACCCACAGCAGCCAGCAAACGCCACTTCTGTGGGGTTTGTGCTTCTGAGGGAAAGACCACAGTGGTTTACAGCTGCTGCCCGGTCTCATGCAGCTTTGCCGCCAGCTGGGATGTCTGTCCTCTCTCCCACAGACCTCCCGACCTCCTTTGTGAAGGAGGTGCATGACTTTGTGCTGGAGCAGTTCAACACAAGCCAAGGAGAGCTGCAGAAGATTCTCCACGACGCAGACCGGATCCACAATGAGCTGAGCCCCCTCAAACTGCGCTGCCAGGCAAACGCCGCCTGCGTGGACCTCATGGTGTGGGCTGTGAAGGACGAGCAGGGTGAGCCCGTGCGGCCCGCAGCGTCCTGGGGCCAGCCAGACTGCCTTTCCTTCCCTGGGAGCTCCAGGCACGCCAACTGACTTCTGGAATGCTTGGCTCTGCGGCCAGCGTGGGCAGTCACGCGAGGAGTGCTTGCTTCCCGGGCACGGGCAGAACTGAGCATCCGGTCTTGCCTGACCCTGTGTGTCTGTTGTTCCATCCTGCAGTAGAGGATGCCGTCCCTGGGATGAGGGGAAAGCCTAAGACCGCAGGGCCCATGTGTCCTCTCTACTGCTTCTTGCTGGTTCTTTAGGCCTTTCCTGAAGATGGGGGCTCGGTGCTGGAGGGGGAAGGGCTTACCTGGGGGAGGGGCAGAATGGGAAGCATGTGGCCTTCAGATTAGGAGCTGGTGGGAAAGAGGGCCTTGGACGCAGCAGAGAAGAGAGAGTCGTCACACGATGCAGGGGGTGGAGTACAGCAGCAGGAGAGGAGCAAAGGGGGAGATGTGAGCGCAGGATTCCTGCCTCCAGACAGTTTCTGGTGCGGTCTGTCCATAATAGTAAGCCTACAAACAGCATGTGTGAGGGGCTGAAGTAGATTATGTGATTAATTGAGGAACGGTTGCTTTATGATTGTTGGAATCTACTCATCCTTCGTACCAATCCCTGATTTTGAACTAAGGCGCAGAAAATCTTTGCATCAAGCTGTCTGAGAAGCTGCAGTCCAAGACCTCCAGCAAAGTCATCATTGCCCATTTGCCCTTGCTCATCTGCTGTCTGCAGGTCAGTCTCACTGGCCCTTAAGGGGCTTAAATCCCCTCCACAGGGTGTGCCCCTTGTCGTGGTGCTCAGGTGGGGGCTGGTGGAGCAGCAGGGATGGTATTGTCTGAGCTGCTGTCTGGAGTAGCTCCAGGAGAGCCTGCGTGGGCACAGTTCCTCGCTGAGAGAGCGCTGCCCTCTCTGGGATGGCAGGAATTCCTGCAGGGATCGTCAGCCTTAGCCCTCCTTTTTTGTGAGGCTGCCCCACATCTGTTGGGCCATGGCCAAGGCCAACAGATGAAGGCCATGGACACATGCCATAGGGAACAAGAAATGACATCCTCCTGACGACTTCAGTGCTTAGCTCTCCTCTGCCTTAATGTAGGTCCTAGTGAACACACCTGCCATTGTTTACAAAGCATATTTTGAACCTTTTTCCCTAAATTTGCTTCCAAAAGCAATGAACATACTTTTTAAAAAAGTTTTGTTGGGCCGGCGCCGTGGCTCACTAGGCTAATCCTCTGCCTTGCGGCGCTGGCACATCGGGTTCTAGCCCCGGTAGGGGTGCCGGATTCTGTCCCGGTTGCCCCTCTTCCAGGCCAGCTCTCTGCTGTGGCCAGGGAGTGCAGTGGAGGATGGCCCAAGTGCTTGGGCCCTGCACCCCATGGGAGACCAGGAGGAAGCACCTGGCTCCTGGCTTCGGATCAGCGCGGTGCAGCAGCTGCAGCAGCCATTGCGGGGTGAACCAATGGAAAAGGAAGACCTTTCTCTCTGTCTCTCTCTCTCACTGTCCACTCTGCCTGTCAAAAAAAAAAAAAAATAATAAAAAAAAAGTTTTGTTTAGGGCTGGCATTTTGGCACAGAGGGTAAGCTGCTACCTACAACACTGGCATCCCATATGGGTACCAGTTTGAGTCCCAGCTGCTCCGTTTCTGATTCAGTTCCCTGTTAATGCACCTGGGAAAGTAGCGGAGCATGGGCCAAGTGCTTGGGCCTGTCTTCCACGTGAGAGATCTGGATGGAGTTCCAGGCTTGGCTTGGGGCTTTGGCCTGGCCGAGGCCTTGTCTATTGTGGCCATTTGGGAAGTGAACTAGCAGATGGAAGATTCTCTCTCTCTCTCTCTCTCTCTCTCTCTGACTTTCCCTTTCTCTCTCTAACTGTGCTTTTCAAATAAATGAAATAAGTGGGAAAAAAAAGTAAAAAGCTTTATTTATTTGAAAGACAGGGAAGGCCAGAGAGAGAGAACTCCCATCTGCTGGTTCATTTCCCCAAATGCCTGCAACAGCCCGGGAAGGGCCTGCCTGTGAAGTGGGGACCCATTAACTCCATTTGTGTCTCACTTGGGTGGCCAGTGCCCAAGTACTTGCCTCCTCACCTGTTGCCTCCTGGGTGCATTAGCAGGAAGCTATATTAGAAATGGAGGTGGAACTCAGTCTCAGGCACTTCTATATGAGATGCACAGATCCCAAGCTACTGCTTAGCCTGCTATGCCACAGCACCTACCCTATTCACTTTTTTTTTTCAGTAAACACAGTTTATTTACATAATATATATTTTGTCATTCAGCTTTTTGAATTGCATCCCATGTAATAATAATAATAATAATATGGGCCGGTGCCGCGGCTCACTAGGCTAATCCTCCGCCTAGCGGCGCCGGCACACCGGGTTCTAGTCCCGGTCGGGGCACCGGATTCTGTCCCGGTTGCCCCTCTTCCAGGCCAGCCCTCTGCTGTGGCCAGGGAGTGCAGTGGAGGATGGCCCAGGTGCTTGGGCCCTGCACCCCATGGGAGACCAGGAAAAGCACCTGGCTCCTGGCTCCTGCCATCGGATCAGCGTGGTGCGCCGGCCGCAGCGCGCCGGCCGCGGCGGCCATTGGAGGGTGAACCAACGGCAAAGGAAGACCTTTCTCTCTGTCTCTCTCTCACTGTCCACTCTGCCCGTCAAAAAAAAAAAAAAAATAATAATAATAATAGTATGACAAACACTGTCTTGATATTTGAGAATTGCCAGAAATGAGCACACTTCTCACGTTTGTCCTACTTGAGTTGAGAAAACTCCACATCATCCTTCTTCTCCGTCCATGATTCCCAGAGGCCACCTGCCTCTGGGAGCTTCGACCTTGGAAATTTCCTGTAAAACTTGAGTGTCTGAAGGGTGGAGCTTCTCACTGCTCAGGCCTTCTCAGACAGGCCCCCTCCAGGCCTCACGACTGGTCATGGTATGTTGCAGGGTTTGGGCCGTCTGTGTGAGAGGTTCCCGGTGGTGGTACACTCGGTGACACCGTCATTGCGAGACTTCCTGGTCATCCCATCCCCAGTGCTGGTGAAGCTGTACAAGTACCACAGTCAGTACCACACAGGTAACAGACGACCTTAGGTCATGCTTTATCCTCAGCATCCAGTCCCTGTGTGCCTTTGAGGCTCTGTGAACCGTGTGAGCCCCAGAAGGGTTCTGTGAATGTTCCTGGGCTCACTCCTCCTCCATACCTCTGCTTCCGTTTCTCCCTGTGCGCCTCCCTTCCGGCCGTAGACCTTTCCTTCCGCTTTGTCCCCCATCCTGTACCCCTGCCACTGAAGGCCCCTCCGAGCCCCATTTTCTTTTTGGAATTTCTCATTCTCTGAGATGGCTTCTAGTGTGAGTACACTGTGCTCCCAGTGGTGGGCCAGGAGCTTCTCATGCAGTACCTGCTGACCTCAGGAGAGAATCACAGTGTTTCCAGGGGTGAGGATGTGGGCTCAGAGAGTCTGGAAATGTCAACAGTGGTGGACATGGAATACCAGCTGTGTGCTGGAGGCTCTTACTTAGCGGCCCTGGCTCACCCGACCCACTCTCCTATGCAGGTGGGCGTTTTCATCTCCCTGCTTCAGAGAACAAAACCCAAACTCAAAGCAGCTGAAAGACTTCCCTTGGATCCTATAGCCAGGAAGGCTCTCAGGTTCAAATGCTCCTGCCCTGATGCTGGGCCCCTGCCCTGCCCTGGGCCCATTAGCCAGATCACCCCTGGGACAGGACCATGCCTCACTCACCAGTCATATGGGTGCTCATCCATACTTCTGAGCAATTTATTGAGAAATCGCTGTTTTTTTTTTTTTTCAGTCCTATCACTTTGTAACCTAAATATTCTTCTTTTTAATTGAAACATGTTCACTTCAGCCCTCCTGTTGGTCTCAGAATCTTTTGTTTCTGAAGTGTTTGGTCAGATGTTTTCAGGATGATTGTTTTTGTAAGCTAAAAAATGTTCAGCAGATTATCTTGGGTTTGAAATGACAACGAAGAGGCTGGGGAGTGAAGCTGAACCAGATACAGATGTCAGTGTTTCCGTTTAGTTGCTGGCAATGATATAAAAATCAGTGTCACCAATGAGCATTCCGAGCCGACCCTGAATGTCATGTCGGGCAAGAAGAACCAGCCCTCCATGTACGAGCAGCTCCGGGACATCGCCATCGACAACATCTGCAGGTGGGAGGCCTGACTGGGCGGGCACTGCGTTTTACACACGGGCTTATTACGAAATGAGAAGTGCTTCTCATTATTACCTGTTTGCTTAAAAAGCAAAATAATAGAAACATCTATTAGAAAAAATATGTAATATAGAGAGAAGGAGAAGAACAATTATCCATTAACCCACCAACCAGAGTAACAGCATGTTGTGTTTTCTTGATCTCCCCCGCACCATGTAATATTTAATATAGATGAGAGAGGTTTTTTTGTTTTGTTTTTTGAGTATCCCTGATGCCCAGACTCCTGCCACATGTACTCTTGCTTTCCCGACTCTGGGAACAAACGCATTCCAGTTTCCCTGAAAGCATCTCTCTCCTCCAAATTCTGGCTCCTTGCTCCCAGAAGCCAGATCCAGACGGTAACTCCCGCCCCATCAGGCTTCTGCTGTTCTGTGACACTCTGGGAACCAAACAGATGGGGAGAGATTCCTTGTGGGGCTTTATGTTCTTAGGGGCTTTTAAAATATCCCCCTTGTTTCTATAACATAAGCATCTCTCCTTACTATTCCAATTTTAAATTGTAATTGTAATATTTCCTGAGTGATCCTGGGACCCTCTGCCTCTTGAATCAGTCATGTGACTTGTTAATGAACAACACGAGAAATGTAAGATGGGATTAGGGTGAGTTTCCTTCCACAGGAAACTGTTCTGGGCAAAATAATGAAGGTATTGTTTCTAGCTGAGATATTTATCACATGAGCACCATCTGTAGCAATTCTGTGAATTCATTCTGTGTAATGACTTTCATCCATATTTCTGGGACAGAAAATTCAGAGCCCTTCTTTAAGCTTTATAAATCTGAGAAAAGAACAGTTAAAAGTAGCTCACTTCATTGTCGTGCTGCCTCACGCCACCCGGGTTTCTTTGCTGCTCAGGTGCCTGAAGGCCGGCCTGACAGTGGACTCTGTGATCGTGGAAGCCTTCCTGGCCAGCCTCTCCAACCGGCTCTACATTTCCCAAGAGAGTGACAAGTACGTCCCTGTCCCTTGGGGGAGCCGCGTGTTTTCAGCTGACTCATGGGGGTTACCTGGCATTGTGCACATCTGCCTCTTTCCTGGTCTTAGAGCAAGGGCGTGCATTGGATGTGTCAGAAAATTTAAGGTGAAGCCCATGTAGGTATGTCCACCCTGGACCAATACATGGGAGTAAAGATGTTTGTCCCCTAGCCTAGCACCTTGGGCTCTGTGTTTTCACCAGTAGGCAGAGATCCTAAGCTGTCAACAGATTTATACTTCATCAAGACCATGATGGAACTGCCGCCTAGATCATGACCTCCAAGCTTGGTTTCACCCTGGTGTGCTGGAACTGTGTTCCTAGGGTTCTCCTGCTCTTCCCCTGTAGGGATGCTCACCTGATTCCCGACCACACCATCCGAGCCCTGGGACACATTGCCGTGGCCCTGAGGGACACCCCGAAGGTCATGGAGCCAATTCTGCAGATCTTGCAGCAGAAATTCTGCCAGCCGCCTTCACCCCTCGATGTGCTCATCATCGACCAGCTGGGCTGCCTGGTCATCACCGGGAATGTAAGGGGGCCCCTGCCTTGGGCCCATGAACCCCACTCACCCTACACAAACAGCCCCTTTAACATCCTTTGACTATAAGGAATTTAAAAATGTGGATAAATGAGCTGAGCGCTCACAACTGGTTTAACACTGAATAGTGAGAATAATAAAATGGTTCCCTAAGTGCTGGGAGGAAAGCAGTTTACTTTCTTGTCCATGCTGGAGCTGGTGTTGCAGCACAGTGGGTTTAAGCCACCAGCTGTGATGCTGGTGTCCCGTGTCAGAGCACCTGTTCAAGTTCCAGTGCTCTGCTTCCCATCCAGCTCCCTGCTAATGTGCCTGGGATGGGAGCAGAGAATAACCCAAGTACTTGAGCTCCTGTCACCCACGTGAGAGACCTGGATGGGGTACCTGGCTCTTGGCTTCTGCTTGGCCCACCCCAGGCCGTTGGCAGCCATTTGGGGAGTGAACCAACAGATGGAAGTTCAGTCTCTCTCTCTGTCTTTCTGACTACCTTTCAAATAAATAATCTTTTTATTAAAAAAAAAAAATTCTGTCCGGCGCTGCGGCTCAATAGGCTAATCCTCTGCCTGTGGCGCCGGCACCCTGGGTTCTAGTCCTGGTTGGGGCGCCGGATTCTGTCCCGGTTGCTCCTCTTCCTGTCCAGCTCTCTGCTGTGGCCCAGGAAGGCAGTGGAGGATGGCCCAAGTCCTTGGGCCCTGCGCCCGCATGGGGGACCAGGAGGAAGTATCTGGCTCCTGGTTTCGGATTGGTGCAGTGCCAGCCGTAGTGGCCATTTGAGGGGTGAACCATTGGAAGGAAGACCTTTCTCTCTGTCTCTTTCTCTCACTGTCTAACTCTGTCTGTCCAAAAAAAAAAAAAAAAAATCTTGCCAATGTAAATAATATGAAACAAGATTTAATTAAAGCTATTTTGAGTTTTGAGTTTACTTTAAGCTTTAGAAATGGATGCCCTTGCTTTTTTTTTGTCCATTGTGATCCATGATCCCAGAGCTGCTCCTGTTTGGGGCTTGGTGCAGGAGACGCAGCGTGCTAACAGTGCCCCTGGCTGTCTTCCAGCAATACATTTATCAGGAAGTGTGGAACCTCTTCCAGCAGATCAGCGTGAAGGCCAGCTCCGTCGTGTACTCGGCCACCAAAGATTACAAAGACCACGGCTACAGGTAATGGCTTCTGGACCTCGGTTTTGCTCACACCCTGAAAGTGTTTAATCCTCCTAGAATATGTGAAGTTTGGGCATTTGTCTTGTTGTTTGTTTGTTTGAGAGCTGGAGAAGGAGACAAGGAGGGCTATGATCCACTGGTTCACTCCTTCAAATGCCTGTGAAAGCTGGGGTTAAACTAGGCCAAAGCCAAGAGACAGGAACTCAATGCAGGTCTCCTCCTTGGGTGGCAGGGACCCAATTGAGTCATCACCACTACTCTCAGAGTGCACATTAGTGGGAAGCTAGGAGCGGAAGTGGAGTCGGGACTTAGAACTCAGGCACCCTATGCGATTTGGTTGTCCCTAGCTTATGTTAACCTAGCTGTCTTAACTACTATACCAAATGCTTATCTAGGAGCATTTATTTTTAAATTTATTGGAAAGGCAGAGTGACAGAGAGAAATCTTTGATCTGCTGGTTCACTCCCCAAGTGCCCGCAACAGCTGGTACTGGGCAAGGCTGAAGCCAGAAGCCAGGAATTCCATCCAGGTCTCTCACATGCTGGCAAGGACTCCAGCACTTGAGCCATCATCTGCTGCCTCCCAGCACAGCAGCAGGAAACCGTGTCAGAAGCAGAGTAGCCTTGGGGCTGGCATTGTGGTGCAGTGGATTAAACTGCTCATGCGGGAGAAGTGGGCTTTAATTTTAATCCAGGTCCTTGCCATTTACTTAGAAAGCATTTTAAGTTCAGGCATGGATACGGTGCACAAAGTGATAAAGTTTATTTAAAAGATGAGAAAGCAAACATACACAAGTGGGCACAATTGAAGAGTGGAGTGGATCAGAGAGAGAAGGGAGTGGGAGAAGGGAAGCAGAGAAGGGGATAGCAGCCCTTGGTCTCCTCCAGAAGAGAGCAAGCACCTCCCAGCACCGTGTGTTAGGAGGTGGTGTGTTCACCTGGGAGGTTTATGACACCTCTGTAAAATTCCACATGGGGCTTAATGTACATGTTTACACGGTTTCTTTTCCCTAGGTCCCAGAAGGAAATGAAGCATCCTGGGAAATGGAGTGTTCTGACAGACAGATAGGATAGAATTGCACAGGGCAGGGCCCTGTGGTTGTGGTTTGTGTCCTGAAGCTCAGCCAGCTACCTTATCCCCTATCATTGCCTCCTGCAATACCAGCATCCCATATCGGAATAATGACCACCGTGCTTCTTTTTATTTATTTATTTATTTGACAAGTAGAGTTATAGATAGAGAGAGAGACAGAGAGAAAGGTCTTCCTTCCGTTGGTTCACTCCCCAAATGGCCAGCGCTGCACCGATCCGAAGCCAGGAGCCAGGTGCTTCCTCCTGGTCTCCCATGCGGGTGCAGGCGCCCAACCACTTGGGCCATCCTCCACTGCCCTCCTGGGCCACAGCAGAGAGCTGGACTGGAAGAGGAGCAACCAGGACTAGAACCTGGTGCCCATATGGGATGCCGGTGCTGCAAGGTGGAGGATTAACCAAGTGAGCCACAGCGCTGGCCCTGCCACCGTGCTTCTGATCCAGCCCCCTACAAATGCACCTGGGAAAGCAGTGGAAGATGGCCCAAGTGCTTGGACACCTGCCACCACATGGGAAATCCAGATGGGGTTCTAGGCTTCTGGCTGGCTTTGGCCTGACTCAACCCTGGCCATCATGGCAGTTATAAAGCAACCAGCAAATGGAAAATCTTTCTCTCTCTGTGTTTCCCTCTTTCTCACTCTGCCTTTCAAATAGATAAAATAATTTTTTTAAAAAAAGAAGAAGAATGGGGCTAGCGTTGTGGCATGAGATCATAGATGTGAAAGCTGTCAGTCACTACAAGGTCTCAGCCTTGTTACTTCCTGCCTTCACACTGCCACGATGGCCAACCTGAGGACCAGGAGAATGGCAGGACCAGACTCACCTCCTGCTTCCATTCGTCCTGATGCGCAGCCCACACACCTCTCCCCATGTCGCTTCCTTGCTCTGAGAGTTTCTGCGGGGCCTCCTCACTCCTGGGTGCCTTCCTTTCCTGTGCTGGTCTGTGCCGGCTTCCTCTGACCCTCTGGGGCATCCTTATTGCTGTTCCTTGTCCCTGCTGTGAGTGGGTGCCTGCCCTTCTCCATCTGGCTCAAGTTGCCCCTCCTTCCATAAAACTTTCTCTCTCCTTTTTTTTTTTTTTTTTTATATTTATTTATTTGAAAGGCAGAGTTAGAGAGGCAGAGTTAGAGAGAAAGAGAGGAGGTCTTCCATCCGCTGGTTCACTTTTTTTTTTTTTTTTTTTTGACAGGCAGAGTGGACAGTGAGAGAGAGAGAGAGAAAGGTTTTCCTTTGCCGTTGGTTCACCCTCCAATGGCCGCCACGGCCAGCGCACTGCGCTGATCCGAAGGCAGGAGCCAGGTGTTTATCCTGGTCTCCCATGGGGTGCAGGGCCCAAGCACTTGGGCCATCCTCCACTGCACTCCCTGGCCATAGCTGAGAGCTGGCCTGGAAGAGGGGCAACCGGGACAGAATCCGCTGCCCCGACCGGGACTAGAACCTGGTGTGCTGGCGCCACAAGGCGAAGGATTAGCCTATTGAGCTGCAGCGCTGGCCCAACCGCTGGTTCACTTTCTAGATGGCCGCAACAGCTGGAGTTGTGCTGATCTGAAACCAGGACTTCTTCCGGGTCTCCCACATGGGTGCAGGGGTGCAAGCACTTGGGCCATCTTCCACTGCTTTCCCAGGCCATAGCAGAGAGTTGATCGGAAGTGGAGCAGTCAGGACTTGAACCGGCGCCCATATGGGATGCCAGTACCACAAGCAGCAGCTTTACCTGCTACACCACAATGCTGGCCCCACAACTTTTTCTTTTTGCCACCATAAATGATTTGTCCTCTGCCTCCCCGTGGAAAGCATTGACTACCCTTTGATTGTCCACAGCTACCATTTGCTCTGAGATTTCTGGGGGCCAAACCTGTGCTCGATGCTTCGTAGAGTGTTCAACTCCTCCTGAAGTCCTGTGAGAGGAAATTATTATCATCCTTGTATATCACTTAGGAAGCAGCCTAAGGCTCAAAGACTCAGGTGACCCTCCCAGGGTCATGCAGGACTGCAGAAGCCTGGCCAGCCTTGCTGGTACACATTGAGTGGCAGAGGGGACAGTGGCAGTGTGACAGGCTCTTGACATTGGGAGGGAAGTGTCCCGAGACTCTCACAAGCCTTCTCCAGCCCCCTGGAGGCCCTCAGTACATCTCAGGAGAGAAGCTCACGATCATTTCTGCAGCCTTTCTTCCAGGGGTCCTTTACATGAAGTGTTCCTTGCCCTCAGGGCTCTTTGTCCACAGGTACTGAGAGGAGCATGGTGAGGCAGGCTGGCGCCCAGCAGTCAGCTGCCTCACCCCCGCATGAAGGAGAGCCTGCCAGTGTTACTGTGCTCTGTCCCCTGCAGGCACTGCTCCCTGGCGGTGATTAATGCCCTGGCCAACATCGCAGCCAACATCCAGGAGGAGCACCTTGTGGATGAGCTGCTCATGAACCTACTGGAATTGTTCGTGCAGCTGGGGCTGGAAGGGAAGCGAGCCAGTGAGCGGGCGAGTGAGAAGGGGCCGGCCCTGAAGGTAGGAAGGAGGGGACTGTCACCACCTTCCCATCGGGGCATCTGTCCATGCTGGCCTGGCTGACTCAGTCTCAGGGCACCGTCTTAGTTGAAGTATTGTGCTTTCTTGGTTATGTGATTTGAATGCAAGAAAGGGGAGGGTGAGTCTTGTTTCTTAGAGTTGCTGGTGTGGGTTGGGGAGAGGGCTGCTGCTTCTTGCATTAGATTGCAACTTGACAACAACCCAGCTTCCGACCCCCTCCTTTCTTTCCTTCATCCTAAAGCCCAGGCCGGTAGGGGGAGGGGGGAGAGCAGGAGGACAGTGGCTGGGCCTAGGAGGATTTTAAGTGTCCGTCATGGAAACGGTGACAACACAGGAAGAGCAAGATTTGTCCTAAGCTCAGGCCATCCAGGAAGGTAGGTCTGTCGGGACAGAGGAGACGTCACATGTTTAGTACTGAGGTTTGGGAGGGGTCACAGCAGGGGAGGTCTCTTACCTTCTCCCCAGTGGTGTGTCGGGGCACAGGTCCCTCTAGCGGATCTGCATCTTCTTCCTTCCCCAGACCGGTGCTTTTCACCTATTCTTTGCCACTGTCCTAAGTCAGAGGTCAGCTCGCTTTTTCTGGAAAGGCCCAGCTAAATATCTGATGCTTTGTGGGCCATGGGGTCTCCTGCAGCTGCTCAGCCCTGCCGTGGTAACGTGAGCACATTCATGGTCAGTGTTAAACACCATGAAACTTACCCACTCCTTGCAGAAGTACCGTGATTTATGCAGATACTTGTTTATGTTGGATGCTGCAGTGTTTTGGTTTTTTTGTTTTTTGGTTTTTTTTTGCTTTTAAAATTGTGCTGGGTGAGAATCTTTATACCTGTCTTTCTATGTATAGCTCTCTTCATTTCTTTCAGAGTCTAGAATTCCAGATTTACCTAACACTGTGTTTCGTCTTGTTTGTTGTAATGCAAGCAACACATGCTTGTCAGTGACACCAGTTCTGTTCTTTTCTAGGCTTCTAGCAGTGCGGGAAACTTGGGAGTGCTCATTCCTGTAATAGCTGTGGTGAGTGGTCATCAGTCACAGTTAAACCAGACGCCGTGCTCGTGTTTCCAATGGCATGTGGCAAATTCCTTAGAAAATGCTCTCTAGGGACTCCAGTGCTTCTGGATGTGGCTGTCGTGGCCACCATCAGCTCTTTCATGTCAGACCCACTGGCGTGTGTCACCTGCGCCACACCTCCCCACCAGACCTCTGTGTCACACCCAAACCCCAGCAGCCACCTGACTGTGGAGCGCCCTGTGGGTCCCTTCCTAAAAGGCCCCCAGGCCCGGGGTCTGACTCCACTTCCGTCCTCTGTGTCTCACCTCCTGTGCTGGTCTCTGACCTTTCCAGGGCTCTGTTTCTGTCCCTTCCTCAGCTCCTCCTTGCCAGATGAGACCTAGAGGCTTCTTGTTGCCTAGGCCTCCAAGGCCCCTGGAGCATGGGGGTGTAGCCTCAGCCTCTAGCCGCAGCCCCACCATGTAGAGGTGCCATTTCCATCATGTCCATCTTAGCCTGTGCCCGCCTCTTCCCATGTGACCTTATTCCCCATTTTCAATCGTTCCCCACTGCAGTCCTGAGCGCAGGGCCTCTGTGTTCTCAGGTTTGTTTTCATCCCTTATTCTCTACCAACCAGTGCCTTCCCACCTCGCCAGCCCCCAGCAGGCATGTCTTGAGCACTTAGGGTGCCTCTTTCACCGTGTACACAAGGAGTCCACCTGGCCGCAGAGTTGATGGGATAACCGGGGTTGAGAGGTTGGATAGGCAGGTAGAATTGAGGGCACGCACAAGCATTACTCCCCATCTCAGTAGAGAGCGGCTCCTGTGTCCCCACCAGTCCGAGTGCTTACCATGTAGTCATCATGAACTGGTCTACAGCTGTGTGTTAGATGTGCCTTTTGTTTGGCCTAGAGGAAGGGGTGACAGGCGTGAAGTTGGAGGCATGCAGCCCGTTGGAGGGGCAGGGGACTCAGCTACTGGCTCCGCGGGAGAGCAGGTTTCAAGCAGAGAGGGAGAAGCTTGGGGTGACGCTTGGTGGGTTCTGGTGTCTTTGAACACCAGGCTGCCGTGACCCTTATTCCTGTGAGCTTGCAAACCTGTCTAGTGATGGTCATTTAGAAGAAACCTGTTGGGGAGTGAGGTTAGCTTGTGAGCATATGGATTTCAGGGTCACAAGGGCCCAGGTTGAACTGCTAATCCTGTGTGTGGCCCCCACGTGGCGTCTGCGCCTTGCCACACTGGGGGGTCAGTGTTGGCATTATGGCTATCAGTGACGGCTCAGAACACAGCCATGTAAATACGCCTTGCTGATCTTTATGTGAAAAAGGCGTTTTTAACAAAAGTTAATGGTTATGTTATGGGGGAGGAAACAAATATTTGCTTGTGTTGCTCAAGAGAGAGCAGAGATCACAGGTTCTGGCATTTGCTGGATGCTCACCCCTCCAACCATCAGGGAGAAGCTGTATAATATCCAAAGACATGTCTCTTTTGTGGGTTTTGCACTTTGCTTTTTTGTTTGTTTTGTTTTGGCCTTTGATGACATGGTATGTGGATTTAGTTTGTCTAGTGGGTTGGGAGGCCTGGGTTCTGGTCCAAAGGTAGCTGTTCACTCCCTGGTGACCTGGGGAAGCTGGAGACAGTCACCGAGAGGGCAGGTCGCATAGTCTGTGAGCCTCCTTCCTGCTTTGGTTTGGTGATCTTTGTCCTGTGCCTTAGTTAATAATGCTTCTTCAGAAGCAGCATTGATTCAGTCGTTTTGTTGTTACCTAACGCACTGGTTAAGCATTTTGAGCTATCTAGTCACTCTGCTGCGGGGAAGTGGTGCTTTGATTAAGAAGTGCCTCTTGCTTGAAGAGCACCCAGCACGTCCCTGACTGCACGTTTACCTTTGTCACTGGTGGCCTTTGTGGCCTTGCACAGGTTACTTATTCTCTCGGTGCCTGTAAAATGGGGTTTGCAAGTTAGCATTTTCCTGGTCATACACCCTTTTTGAAAGCCATGTACTCCCTTTCCTTATCACCACTGTGCAGGTGAGAACCCTGCAGCGGGAACTTGGCAGTGAGTCCCACAGCTGCTTAATGTCAGAGCCAGGATTCAGACCCAGGCAGCCTGGCTTGGAGTCTGTGCTCTGCTGCCTGAGAAGTGGGTGGTCTGGTGTCTAGGAGGGGGTCCTCAGGGATTCTGAGTGGCTGAATGTGAACCAAAGCACAGGGAGTGGGGCGGGGGAGAATGCTGTCAACCTGTGCGAGGGCACAGGGGAGCCTGGACTGGCTGTAGCAGAGGTCAGGCAGGGGGTTGGCAGTGAGACCGTTGGCTTTCTGGGGAGGGGACAGACTTGGTAAAGGACTTCAAAACAGAGGGCTTTTGGAGACAACTATGTTTAGTTAAGGGAGGAGCAAAACAAAGCAGCAGCAAGAGGAGAGATACAGGACAAGGGCCCCGAAGAACAGTGCTGAGGCAGATTGGATTAAAAGTCGAAAGAATGGATCAGCAGCACTGTCAGGTTTCACTGAGAGGCTACAAGCGTGTGACGGGGGGACCTGGCCTCAACCCTGTGCTGTCCCTTCTCAGTCAAGTCCCGGGGCAGCCCTGGGCACAGGAAGTTAGGACAGGAACAGGTAAAAAGGGTTAAGTGGGGCTCCAGGACCCACTTGCCTGATTTTGGATCCCTTCCGTGAACTTTAATTGTCTTCAGCTGAAAAAGAGTTGCTAACAGCATGACCCTGCCCACCCCCAAGGTTGGTTTGAGAACTCAGTGAGATGACCCACAGACACAGCCATGCGAGCAGTGCCTACGCCTGTGTTGCAGCAGCAAATGCTCCATGCTCCCCTTTTCTCTATCCTGTTACTGGTATTGGTCTTGTTGTTTAGAAACCTTCTGTGACAAAACTGTGAGCATGACCCTGGAGTCAGGCCAACCCGCCCTTGAACCCCAGCCCTGCCACACACTACAGCAGCTCTCAGAACCCTGTCAGCCCTGTCTTGCTCTCCTGCAAAGTGGGGAAGATGAGGCCTCTCCTGCTAGGCTCTAGGGGCTATAGACAGATAACCCGCTGGCTGTTGGCTTTCCCCCTTGCGGAAAGCATGCTGCTCCTGCGTCCTGAACAGCTTCTGCGGGCTTCCTTCCGATTGTCTTAGCCAGGTGTGAAGGATGCAGAAACATGTTCTAATGTGCCGTCTGTTTTACCAACCAGACCTACAGGATCGTATCCCAGGGATGAAAACCAAAGCACTTGCCCCACGTAGACTCTGGGAACCTTGGGTTTGTGTAACACTTGGGCTGGTCCTGAGAACATGCCCTGGGTAGTGCACCATCACATGTGGCCCTCGAGTCACTTTCTGTGTTCGTCACTCTCAGGACGTCAGCTCTTGGGGGTGTGGCCCTTGTTCTTTGAGTTTCAAAAGACAGAATTTGTGCCAAAGTCACATGAAAAGTGGCTACATTTATTTATCTTTAGGGTGGAAGACATGGCCACATGCTGCACTGTCCTCTGGGTCTCAGCGAGGCACCAGCAGGAGGGACAGATGACTTCACGTGGATTTGGAAAGTTGGGCCTTGAGAGAATTAAACCGTACCGTTAGCCCAGGGCACTCCACGCCTGTCTGTCTCAAGGTTGCTTCTCCCTTGGGAACATCACAGATGGTGAACACTTTGTCACACTCCTCATTTCTGTGCTCAGAAAGGGGCCCTAGTTGAGAAAGGCTTTGAGTGACGGAAGTAGGTATACCCTGCAGGCTGCCTGGGAAGGAGGTGCCCAGGGCGTACTGTGCAGGTGTGCTTGGAGGAAGGGGCAGGAAGGTGGTCTGGCTCTTGGTGAGACCCTTGGGGGAGCAGCTGCATGCTGCAGTGACCTGTCTTCTGTGGATTCTCGGCGTGATTTACTCTGTAGGATTGATTCCCACCTGCTTCTCAGTCCTTAGCAAATTTCTCCTCTCGTTTGGCCTTGGGTTCAGATTGGAGGCATAGACCACGGAAGTCATGGTGCCAAAAATCTGTGTCCTCGTTGTTGGAATAGAAACAGAACCACAGCACATCCCCAAAACACATCAGATGCCCAGAGCTCCACCCTAAGACCTGACAGGGTTGGCCACTCTCCCCATGAAGAGCAGGCAGCTGGTGCGGTGCTCGTAGACCAGGAACAGAAAGGGGCGATCCACTGTGAAGCGGACTTGGGTGGACAGTGGCATGAACCCCACCGTGGTCACAGCTGCAGCTTGGGTGCCCTCTTCGTTCACCGTGATGGTGCCTTGGTGCTTGAACTGTTCGAATTGGAAGGGAACATATCAGGTTCCATAGGTTGACACAAGAAGGGCAGAGAATCTAGTGTCCCATCTCATTCAGGAAGGGGTCTGAAGACCACGTGAGCCGTGAAGATCACAGCCGGTCACAGTTAGCCTGATAACATCCGTCATTACATGTCGAGTGCAGTAATTGTGCTTAGAGGCTGTGCCATGTAGCAAATCCCTTTAAAGTCTAGAACCACATTCTCTCCTGGCCCTGCCCACAGTCTGTGAGGCTTGGGGCACCAACACAGGTGCCCCTGCCTGCCCCCGCCCCCTGCAGCAACCGAGAGGAGTGCAAGAGCCTGGATCTGTTGCACCGTTGAGACTGGTAGCTATTTCACAGACTGAAGCACACGCCTCCCCTTCTGGTGTCAGGAGTGGAGCTCACTCTAAGGCTGTTCCCTGTGGCAGCACTGCTGGCTGAGTGCCTGGCAACTGCAGTGCCCCCACCCTGATCCCCCACCCCGCACCCCCCATGGCAGCTGCAGAACTGAGTGCTCTATGTGTCACAGCCAAGCCAGGAGAGCCACCCCAGGACCCCCCAACGTGGAGAGTCAGACATCTGGTGCTAGCTGGAGCACAGTGGAAGTGGGGGCATCCTGAGAGTGGCCCCGGGGACAGGAGAGAAGGGAGTGGTTACCAGGTCCATGGTGATCCCTTGGTCTGAAATTCCTGACATGTTGCCGTTTTTGTCAAACAGCTCCGTGACCCCCATTGACTTCAGGGCCTCCACCAGGTTGTAGTTCTTCTCCAGCTTGAATTTAGGAAGGAGCACCTCTCGGGTTCTAGACAGAGCAGAAGGGCCTCGTTTGATTGAACTACAAGTTACAAGAGAATTATGCTTTCCCTTTAAATGTCCACAGCCTACTCCCCAGGTTGCTCTTACCACAGAGATGACACAACATTTGTTAAAATTGATATGCTAAGGACAGGTGTTGTGCTACAGCAGGTTAAGATACTGCATGCTATATCAGAGTACCTGGGATCGAGTCCCACCTCCAGTTCTTCTTCTTTTTTTTTTTTTTTTTTTAAGATTTATTACTATTATTATTTTTGAAAGATTTAGAAAGAAAGAGAGCACTCCCATCTGCTGGTTCACTCCCTAAATGGCCCCAACAGCCAGGACTGGGCCAGGTCAAAGCCAGGAGCTTCTTCCAGGTCTCCCATGTGGGTGCAGGGGCTCAAGGACTTGGGCCATCTGCTGCTGCTTTCTCAGGTGCATTAGCAGGGAACTTGTTTGGAGGCAGAGCAGCCGAGACTTAAACTGGTGCCCATATGGGATACCAGCACTGCAGACAGTAGCTTAACCTGCTGTACCACAGTGCCAGCCCCCACCTCCACTTCTAATCCAGTTAACACACTTCAGAGGCATCAGGCTCAAGTACTTGGCTCCCTGCCTCCCGTATGGAAGACACAGATTGAGTTCTGCCTCCTGGCTTTGGCCTGGCCCAGCCCCAGCTGTGTGTGAAGAGTGAGCCAGCAGATGGAAGGTCTCTTCCTCTTTCTCTCTGTTGCTATACTTTTCAAATAAAAGTAAATAAACTTTGAAAAGTGTGTATATGCTAGAGACCGGCGCCGTGGCTCACTTGGTTAACCTCCACTTTGCAGCACCGGCATCCCATATGGGTGCCGGGTTCTGGTCCTGCTTGCTTCTCTTCCAGTCCAGCTCTCAGCTGTGGCCCAGGAGGGCAGTGGAGGATGGCCCAAGTGCTTGGGCCCCTGTGCCTGCATGGGAGACCAGGAAGAAGCACATGGCTCCTGGCTTCAGATCAGCACAGCCCTGGCCATAGTGGCCATTTGGGGAGTGAACCAAAGGAAGGAAGACCTTTCTCTCTCTCTCTCTCTTTTTCTGCCTATAACTCTACCTGTCCAAAAAAAAAAAAAGTATGTCTAAGTATGTATATGCTGGTACTGTGAAGTGAGCGTTTTGGAAAGACTAGCCTTCCACACTCACTGGATCTGCATCCCCATCCCACCAGAATTCCAGTCACAGCCAGCCTTCCAGCCCCACACTGTAATTGTAGTTACCAGCAGCCCTCCAGGCCTACAGATCTGCATCCTCAGATTCAACAAGTTGGAGCTCAGATATAGTCACTGGAAAAAATTACATCTGTACTTGTCATTATTCCCCCCACCCCCCAAAAAATACAGTGTAGAAACTATTTACATAACGAGTGTTTTAGATACTGTAAGTAATCTAGAGATATTTTAGTGTTAAGGGCCTTGAGCATCCATGCACTGTGGTATCCCACAGGGAGTCCTGGAACCAGCCCAACCATCATGGATACCAAGGGACCCTTGGAACTTAAAACTGGGGCTTGTTTACTGTTGTGTGGCCATTTCCTTGATGCTGTGTGGTTCATTTGCTGTCTTTAAAGTCAGCAGCATGTTTGAGAAGGTATATAAAACGGTCCTCTTGTTTGATTCCCTAACTTCAGACACTTATTTTACTGATCAGAGTTGAGTTTTCTGGTCATATGTATGTATACCTGACAGGGCTAAAATCCTCAGTGCTTGCTAAGCCCCAGTCCAGCCTGTTGTTCTCTGTTATGGGAGCCTTAGCAAACTAATATGTGGGATCTTTACAAAATTCATGGAAAATGCATGTTATGAAAAAATTACACATGGGTTTCAACTTTTTTGCACCAAAATTAACTTATCTTTGAATTTCATCTTCCATGAACTTTTTGAAGTACCCCTAGATTTCACACTTGCAGTTTTAACTCTGGAGCAGGCTGGCGCTGCGGCTCACTAGGCTAATCCTCCGCCTTGCGGCGCCGGCACACCGGGTTCTAGGCCCGGTCGGGGCACCGAATTCTGTCCTGGTTGCCCCTCTTCCAGGCCAGCTCTCTGCTATGGCCCGGAGTGCAGTGGAGGATGGCCCAAGTGCTTGGGCCCTGCACCTGCATGGGAGACCAGGATAAGTACCTGGCTCCTGGCTTTGGGCCACGGCGGCCATTGGAGGGTGAACCAACGGCAAAGGAAGACCTTTCTCTCTGTTTCTCTCTCTCACTGTCCACTCTGCCTGTCAAAAAAAAAAGAAAAAAAAAAAAAAAAGAAAAAAAAAAAACCTGGAACAATAAATAACAGGAGGAAATTGTAAATGATGCATCCTCAGAGGGCTGAGAGGACTTTGGAGTTTCCTAATGAGGGAAGGGGCAGTTAATCTTTGTTGGACACCACCTGGGTTCCAGATGCTGGGAGGAATATTCCAAGTCCCTTGTTTTATCTATTTCTCCTAGTGACCCTGGAAAGTAATGCAATTATCCCCATTTTAGAGTTGATGAATCTGGGGCCCAGAGCCACACAGCAAGTGCATAGCAGAGGTGGGATTATTACTGAGCTAACTCTAAGTCACCTGCCTTAACTTCTGAAATGGCCCCGTGGAGAGCAGGTGACAGCTTCTCGGGTACCCTGATCGCATCACCAAGCAACAGATGATGAACAGACAGCCCTTGTGGAGGTTTTGGGTACGTAGTCATACTTCTCCCTTTTCTCAAGATGCCCACAGTCCCAGGACTCCTGGACACCCCCGGCCTCTGGGAGATGGAGAGAACTAGCTCATGTCCTGACGTACCTGTTTGTCATGCTTTTTTGCCATCTCTCCACCACCTGGGGTGTCAGCTGTGCTTCCAAGGTCTTCATCCCCGACAGCTTATGTGGGACCACAATTAGCATGCTGATGCCCCCTACGTACTCCAGCTGGAGGACATCACAGTCCAGCTCCTGGTCATTTGCTGCGAGGAAGTTACCCTTGGTCTGCATCATAGAAACCTTGACCACCTCCCTTTCATTCAGCCGGAAGTTGTGGTTGTGTGTCATTTCCACGGGGAACTTATTCACCCAGGTTCCTGTAATGGCAATAGGAATGGGTCTTTTATTAGAATGTTCGAGAGCAGTGGCTCTCACCCTTGAGCTGCATCCAGAGTCCTTGAAGGGCTTTGCAGCACCCATCCCAGGATATTTGATTCCCTAGATCTGGTTTGATCCGAGAATTCGCATTTCTTTTCTTTTTTCTTTTTTTTTAACAGGCAGAGTGGACAGGGAGAGAGAGAGAGACAGAGAGAAAGGTCTTCCTTTGCCATCGGTTCACCCTCCAATGGCTGCCGCGGCTGGCCTGAAGCCAGGAGCCAGGTGCCTCTCCTGGTCTCCCATGCGGGTGCAGGGCCCAAGCACTTGGGCCATCCTCCACTGCCTTCCCGGGCCACAGCAGAGAGCTGGCCTGGAAGAGGGGCAACCGGGACAGAATCCGGCGCCCCGACCGGGCCTAGAACCTGGTGTGCCGGCACCGCTAGGCGGAGGATTAGCCTACTGAGCCGCGGCGCCGGCCGAGAATTCGCATTTCTTAATGAGTGAGGTTAAATAGACTGAAGTGGATTCTGAGTGAGATTCTGAACCTGACCCTGATGAGTTGGGTGGCTTCTGCCTGGGCTTCCGCTTCATCTGTAAGGTGAGTGTCTTGGAGCTGCTCTGTGGGGGTGATTTCCTTCCCACACTCTGATTTCGGCAGTCACCGGCGGGATATGCGCATGAGGTGGTGTTGCCTACAGGGTCTTCACTGTAGGTTTGGGTGCGGCACAGTGTATCCAGGGATAAGTCCAAAGACGCTCTGAGGTGCTTGAAACTAGTAGTGCTGGGTAACCAGCAGTTGAGTACTTGACATGCCAGGCTCCTCTTCTCTAAGCGCCTCTCCTAGACTAGGGCTTCACAAAAAGTTCATGGAAAATGCATAGCACGAAAAATATGCAAGGATATTTAAAAATTTGGGGACTAAAGAAAACTTTACCATTTCATTCTACTTTTTCCATGAACTTTCTGAAACACCCTTGAATCGTGTCTTTTCCGCTCCAGCAAACCTATGAGGTGTGTGCTTTTCGTTATTATCCCTGTTTTATAGATGAAGAGACAGGCACAAATAACTGAAGTGACCTATCCAAGGTTTCCCGCTGGTGGGTTGAGCAGTCAGGATGAGAAACGGGAGGTGTCTTAGGAGGAGGTTACAAAGCAGACAGCTCCTGCCTGTCCGTGGTTGTGCTCAGCACTACTGACATTTGGGCAGACAGTTCTCTGTGGTGGGGGATTGTTCTAGGCACCGTCAGGCGCTGAGCAGCACCACTGGTCTCCACTCTAGCCAGCAGCAGTGCTTCCTCCCTTCACCCCAGGTTTCCAGTGTTTGCCAGGGCCCCATTGGGAATCACCGTGCTTTCCAGCTCAAGTTCAAGTTCAGTTCAAATTTCAGGTTCAAGTCCCGGCTGCTCTACTTCTGATCCAGCTTCCTGCTAATGCGCCTGGGAGAGCAGTAAAGATGGCTCAGATGCTTGGGCCCCTGCCACCCACGTGGGAGACTGGGAAGCAGCTCCTGGTTTCTAGCTTTGGACCAGTTCAGCTCCAGCAAGGTGTGTTTGGTGACAAAGGGGAGATGGACCATGTGTCACTGCTCTTGGTTCTGATGCCAAAGCATCCTTGTGTGTGCTCCTAAGAGAGTGTGTGTGGGACTTAGAGAGTGAAGTAGAAGTTTTTTCTGAACACGTCCCAGTAGGGCGTCTGAAAAATGAGGTCTGGATCCATGCCCATTTTTCCCTAAAATTCCAGATGGGGTGGGGTGGGGTGGGGTGGGGAGGAGATCCTGTTTGTTGGGGGGTAAAGCCCTCTCTGAACAGTCTCTGGCGCCTGGCCCATCAGTGCAGCAGTGTCCTGAAAAGGAGCAGCAGCTGTTAGTGTCAGCTCGTCAAGCTGAGCCCTTGACGTGTTTCTTCAGCTTTTTGTCTGTATTGCTGAGTGTTGATAATTGGGAAAGAAAATGGAAGGAAAAAAAAAACAAAACTCAGATCGAGGTTGGCCAAATGCTAAAAAGTTTTTTGCATTATTCTGGTTGACTGAATCACTAGAGGTGACCTGTCTGGATTCAACCTTGGCTTTGCTCCTTACTACCAAGGGTGCCCTTGGAGCACCCTTTTCTCTCTCTGCGCCTTGGTGGCTCTGTCAAAGTGGGGACACTGGTACCAGTGATGATTTCACAAGGTTGTGCTGGAAATCCAGTGACTGAAGCAAAGAGTTAGGACTCAATATGCTTCATCCCTTAACAGTATCCCCTGTCCCTGTGTCTCAGCTGACCTGCTGTCTTTGCATTGTGTCTCCCCACTCACTGGGAAGAGTACATTGTGAGCCTGCTTGGCGAGCTGTGAAGCTGTTCTTACCTTTGAAGTAGATGCAGTTCAGAATCATCATCTGAGTAGCAGGGTCTACGTTCTCCAACGCTTCTTTAATGAGGCCCTTGGTGACCTTTAGGATGTGGTTGTTGGCTTTTGATATAAAAGCAGGGTCCGAGAAGTCAGCCGCCTGGGCCTCAGCAAAGTAATACTCTCTTACTTTAGCCTTGAAGTCCTCCCGGATGGGAAACTGCTTCTGGACGTAGAGGTCATTGACTGACCGCAGTGTGTACCCAAAGTTCCTCCTGAAGAGGCGATGCGTCAGCTTCCGGAAGAGGTTATGAATGGTCAGGATCTCATACTTGCTGCTGGCGTTAACAAAATCTCTAAAATGCAAAACGGAGTGCACCTGTTCATGGGTCTCCCCCTTCAGACCCAAGGAGATCATCCCCATGGCAGTAGAAATGCCCACAGGCGCTATAAAGATGTTATCAAAAGCGTTGGCCTGGTCCTTCAGTGCTCGGTAAAGGCTGAAAGCAAACTTTGCATTGAGGATGTTAAGACGCTGGATCCTGCTCTTGCCTTGGAAGAGCTGCAGGATGTTCCCGGCGCTGGCTTCCGAGTCGGTCGGGGAAACAGCGTCGATGATGTCTATGTAGTCGTCATCTTCACTGAGTAACTTCTCCAGGTCCAGGTAGTCGTCGTCCTCCTCCCCCTCTGGAATCCAGTCATTGGTGACTGTGTTTTCCTTGTGGAACTCGATTGGCAGCAGGGGCATGGTCAGGTTCTTGTTATTCAGCTGATCTGTGAGACCGTTGCTCCCACCACACACAGACATTATGGTGAGAGAAATGAGAAGCAGGTGGGGTCGATGTTGCATTTTTGCAGAGCTGAAACCAAGAGTGAAAACAGAGGACACTGTGAGAGGTGGCCAGACGGACCCCCATGTCGCTGCAGCACTCAGTTGCCAGGTTTGCTGCAGCTCTGGCTGAGAGAGACGTCTGGGCACAGCACCAACTCAAAACGATTTTAGGATTAGGGACTTTAAAATGATCTGATGGAGATAAACATGCATAATATTTTGTGTGGGCTTCATAAACCTCCCCAAATGATCCATGGACCCTTACTTAGATCAGAATCCCCTCTTTAAAGGTTTGCAAGGGGCCAGTGCTATGGCATAGCAGATAAAGCTGCCACCTGCAGTGCCAGCATCCCATATGGGTGCCGGTTTGAGTCCTGGCTGCTCCACTTCCGATCCAGCTCTCTCTCTTACAGCCTGGGAAAGCAGTGGAAGATGGCCCCTGCACCCACGTGGGAGACCCAGAAGAAGCTCCTGGCTCTGGATCAGCTCAGCTCCAACCATTGCTACCATCTTGGGAGTGAACCAGCGAATGGAGGATCTCTCTCTCTCTCTCTCTCTGCACCTTTGCCTCTCTGTGGCTCTGCCTTTGAAATAAATAAATAAATCTTTAAAAAAATAAAATAAAGGTTTGCAAACTACCCTTCTAGAATCCTGAGAGCTCAGAGGTTTCAGAGGGAGTTTCTTTATTTGAAAGGCAGTTACAGAGATAGAGGGAGATATAGAGAAAGATCTTCCATCTGCTGCTGGTTCACTCCCTAGATGGCCACAACAGCCAGGGACTGGGCCAGGCTGGAGCCAGGAGCCAGGAGCTTCATCTATGTATCACACATGGTGTAGGGGGCCCAAGGACTTGGGTCATCTTCTCCTGCTTTTCCCAGGCACATTAGCAGGGAGCTGGATTGTCAGTAGAGCTGGGACATGAACTAATGCTCAAATGGGATGCCTGCATCACCCATTATGCCACAATGCTGGCCCTGGGCCTTGAGCCCTGGGGTTTGTTTTTCATGTATGCACCAACCATTGTCTTCCATCTCCAGATAGCTTAGTTGACACTAGAGTGGCAGAGATCCCAACTAAAGGGCCACTGAGCTACTGTACATATTGACACATACAGTAAAGCAAGGGCTCCCAGAATCACAGCACCAGGACCTGTGAGTGCTCTGCCCTGCATAGCAGGCGTGGGGAGGACAGACAGCAGGGAAGCTTCACTAGGGCTTGAGGCTTGAGAGAGATCGGCCTCAGCACTTAATTTCCAGTGGCCGGACTCGTCCCTGCCTGCACTCCTGCAAACTACTCTACCTTTGGAGCAGGGATGTTGAAAAGTGCATTGGCCGGTGTCGCGGCTCACTAGGCTAATCCTCCGCCTGCGGCGCCGGCACCCCGGGTTCTAGTCCCGGTCGGGGCACCAGATTCTATCCCGGTTGCTCCTCTTCCAGTCCAGCTCTCTGCTGTGGCCAAGGAGTGCAGTGGAGGATGGCCCAGGTCTTTGGGCCCTGCACCCCATGGGAGACCAGGAGGAGGTATCTGACTCCTGGCTTCGGATCAGCGCAGCGCACCGGCCGTAGCGGCCACTTGGGGGGTGAACCAATGTAAAAAGGAAGACCTTTCTCTCTGTCTCTCTCTCTCTCACTGTCTAACTCTGCCTCTCAAAAAGAAAAAAAAAAAGAAAGAAAAGAAAAGTGTGCATGGGCCAGGATTTCTTTTTTTTTTTTTCTTTTTTTTTAACTTTTATTTAATGAATATAAATTTCCAAAGTACGGCTTATGGATTACAATGGCTTCCCCCCCCATAACGTCCCTCCCACCTGCAACCCTCCCCTTTCCCACTCCCTCTCCCCTTCCATTCACATCAAGATTCATTTTTGATTAGGATTTCTAAAAACAGGATATCCTCAAGATACTTGAAATTTATGCAGTCATTTGGGGTTATTTAATTTCCATAAGAGTTGGAACTTGTCTTTAATGCTAAGCCCCTCCTCGAGGCCTGGTGAGATGTGGCTGGTGGCCTGTCACTCACTGCCAACTCCAGAGGCTATGAGGTTATCTGAAGACACTTCAAAAGTTCATGAAAAATGAAATGAAAAGTTAAATTTATTTTGGTGCAAAAACTTTGTAATTCATGCATATGAGGGTACTTTTAAAAGTTGATGGAAATGAATACTTTGAAAAAAAAATTATGCATGAATTTCAGTTTTTTGAAACCAAAGTTGATCTTTCCGTTTCATTTTTGTTGACCCTTTTGAAGTACCTTCCTGACTTCTGCTGGTGTGCTTTTTTGTATCTTTAGCCAGTTGGCTCCCAAAGGTGTCAGGGGAGGGTAAATATGTTCTCTTTCACTGCTTCTCATCTACCCCGTCTTTGCAAGGTGGATGTCAGAAAACTCTCACTGAGGGCCCGAGGGGCATTCTCTTTATTTAGGTAAACAAGATATGTAACACATAGACCTTGTGGCTAGCCTGTCCTTACTCATCCCCTGTCTTGTTCCAAAGAGGATTTGACCTGGCTTGTCAAATCCAGGTTGGCCACCACATGCCTTTGTCTTTTTCTTACTTCTGTACCCTAGTAAATGAGGTGTTATTTGACACACCCATGATTTGGCCAGGACGGTGGCTCTAGGTATTTATCATGCTGAGCCAGGGGCAGACGTTCAGCCTAGCGGTTAAGATGTAGGTTAAGATGACAGTGGCTCTCCAGTACTTGGGCTCCTGCCACCCATGGGAGAAATGCAGATGGAGTTACTAATGGCTTTGGCCTGGCCCAGTCCTGGCTGTTGTAGACATCTGGGGAGTAAACCAGAGAATGGAACATCTGTCTCCCTCTCTCTTGCTGTCTCTCAGCCTCTCAAATAAATAATTTTTAAGATATATATACTGCTGGCCCTGGATCCCAACTTCTGTACATGATCCTAACTTCTGATCATCCTAAGAAGCACTGTGTTTTATTAAGTTTACTGTATATCTACGGCCATTTCCTGTTAGGTAGATATTTGAGGGCCAAATGTCTGCTACCAGTGTAGACCCAATACGAGTTCCTGGCTCCTGTTGGGCAGATATTTGAAGATGGGGCTAACTGTACAGGTACCCGACTTGGTTTTGTGGGTGCTGAGAATGGCAACAGCTGTTAATGGTGCCTCTGCTGGATGCCAGACATTGTACGAGGCCCTTTGTGTAACTTCACGTCATCTGCCCTGCAATTTACATCAGGAGACCGAGCCTTTGTCACTGTCACTAACAAGTGGCAGCGGCTAAATCTGGTCCTGTTGGTTCGGTCCCCCAAGTCCTGTATGCCAAGAGCTCCAGGATGTTCCCAGCTGCCCAGGCTGGGGGAATAACATGCAGCCTGGTTTCCCTGCTGGCATTTTCTGTCCTCTGGCCTTCCCCCGTAGTACTGTTCAAATAATCAACTCAAGCATTGTTTGCCTCACCACTGGGAAACTTGTGAGTTGCACATTTTGGAAAGGGAAGGTCACATAGTTTCTGACTTTGAAAATGTCTACTGTCTTTCCCAGCCTTCCCCTTCTCAGCACCCTGCTCGTGCTCCAGGGCCACACTTACAGTCTGCATGCAAGGGACAGTGTCTGATGTGTTTGGCTGTGAATAGAACCTGGCCCAGTGTCCAGGCAGAATCAGGCATGGGTATCAGCAACAATGCACTTGTGACAAATAAGAAGAGGAGAAGGTTAACAACTTAGTAGAAGTCTGCTTGTTTGATTGCACTTAATAGTGTATAGTGTCTCCTCTGATTCAAAAAATAAGGTTAAAGAAAAAAAAAACCAGCTTGAATAAATAAGTGTTCAGGAACGGATCTGAGGCCAGATGGGGAAGCAGGGTGGAGACATTCATGTTTTTATCGTGGTTCCCAGGGCATACGTTTAGAAGTTTCTTACACTCTCTTCCTACATATTGTGAACAAATGCCAGACACTGTTCATTATTCCTTCACAGAGGAACGAGAACGTATCTCTGAAATGAAGACTCTGGAAGGTAAATCTTCCTTGTTGCTATTTAGTAGAACAGCCATTATGTGAGGCATTCAAAAGCATCACTAGGTTGTATTTAAACCCGGATTACTGTGTTGACAAGAAGCAGTACATTTTGGAGGTTAACCATTCCAGAGTTTGTTTCTCTGAGAACCTCACATGGCGCTTTCACGCTGGCTGGAAGGAGTGAGATTTGGACATTCCACTGTCGTGTATCAGGGCAGAGCACACTCCTCTAGCCCCCCCCACCCCCACCCCCACCCCCACCCCCAGCTTAGTCTTCAAGCCCAGAGCAGGCGGAACGGGAGAGAAGTAGCTTCCTGGAGCTTGGAAAAGTCTGTATTTTGAGATAATTTCAAACTTCAAGAAAAACTGAAAGCAATAGTGTAATAGAATGGCCGCCGGATTCAGCAGATTTTTAAATTTCCTGTAGACGTTTGCTCACTTGTGTGTGTGTGTACACAGGCACACTCGTACACATTTTTTGTTCTCTGAACCACTGAGAGGTCTCCTGTGCCACGTCTCTCTAATGTGAGCTCCTCAGGGAGAGTGGCTGAGAACAAGGCCCTTCCCTTCTCAGAAGCACATGGCAGGTGCCCGTTTGACAGCACAGGTGCAGCGCCTTCACCTAGTTCAGTTCCTACTCGAACCTTGTCAGCGTCCTAACAATATAGCTAACAGAAACTGCCAGGCTGGGAGATAGAAACATTTTTTTCCCCACTTCTAAGCATAGAAAGCTTTTGGACTCATGGTCCAATAGAGAAGCAAATCAGTTGCCCATGTTTGTGTACCCCAAATAAGAACTTAGGAATATTATTGACGAAAATGTTAAAAACCGAACTTACCTCTGTGCTTCAGAGAAGTAGCGTTTCAGAGACAAAATCCGCTAAGATCACCAGCAGGCTTTCAGTGTGAACTTTGATTGCTGGGCTGTTGGGTATTTTCCAAAGTAAATATGTCCCAATTCAAACACCACGCAAGTAGCTTTGTCAGCACAAACCCCCTCACCAGTGTCTCTGATTGCTGTTGAGTGGAGACTCCCCCCAGTTCGTATGTAGCTGATGTCTTGAAGTTTGGCTGTGCACAGGCAGCGTCACTGCAAGGAGCAGCCCCCACCGGGGCACCCCATCACCGAGGTGCTGCAACGGGGTAGCTTACTGCTCCCTGGAAAGTAGAAGCTGTGCCTGCCCTGCAACTACGTCTTACCCCTCTGGGATGATCGCAGCATCTGACCTTGCCCTGGCCTCCCGAGCTCATGTCTCTGGTCCGACTACTAGGCAGCTGTCAGCACCCTCCCGTGAGCTTGTGCCTCAGTGAGAAACGGAGCCAGGAAAGCGAGATGAGGTTAGTGACTTCACCGACAGCGAGGCCGTGCGTAGACCTTTCCTCAGTCGGGGATCACTGTGGTTGCCGGAATCTGCAGCCCCACTCTGCTGTGCTCTAGGACCGAGATTCCTGAGCAGTCCCTCCCACACTCAAGTCCACCTAGGCATTCGCAAGGATCTGTGAGCCATGATACATTTCTTTAATTTGTGTTTTTAATTCTATGATCTAAAAAGTTGTGAGAACATTCCGGATTGTCTGGAAGACCAGCTCATCCCAGAGCACTGCTCCCTGAGATTGGGCCCTGAGAGCATTGTAGTGGCGCCCAGAGCCCTTCCACGTGGTGGGAGTGTATGTGGCTCAGCATGAGAAATGCTGGCATGTAAAGGGCCATTGTGTGCAGGACACAGAAAGTGTGGCTGGGTTGGAGTCTGGCGTAGTGCTCTATGGCTTTTGCAGAGCTGTGTTCTCAGAGCCTCCATCTGTCCAACTCAGTGCTGAGTCTCCAGCGTGGCCACATCATGCGGCTCCGAGAGGCTGTCCCCTGTGTCTGGACTGCTGCTCAGCCTGCTGGGTTCTGCTCCTACTTGCTCCCTTGCTCTCTGTCCTGTTCTCACACGTTCTAACCCAGCCTTGGCAGAGCTTTGGCCTGTGGCTGCCGCGCTCTCACTGTTCCCTCTCCATTCAGTGAACCTTAGCAGCTACCCTGGTAAAGTCACAGCTCCCACCTCCCACTCTCTGCACCCTCCCCTGGAAAACGAGGCTGGGGCAGGTGTTTGGCCCAGCAGTGAAGACATTGGCTAAGATGTCCACTCCCACATCAAGGGCCTCAGTTTAACTCCTGGCTGTGGATCCCATCCCCAGCTTTCTGCTAATGTACTCCTTGGAAGACTGTGCTTACCTGGGGGTCCTGCCACCCATGTGGGAGGCCCAGATAGCTCCTGACTCCTGGTCTAGCTCGCGTTATTGCAGGCATGTGGGAGTGAACCAGTGCCTAGAGGCTTGGTCTGTCTCTTTCTCTGCCTCTCACATAGATAATTGTCTTAATGAAAATTAGGGCTCAGCATCGTGGCACAGCTGGTTAAGCTGCCTCTTACAGCACAGGCGTCCCGTATCGGAGCACAGTTCCAGTCCTGAGTGCTCTGCTTTCAATCCAGCTCCTGCCATCACGCCTGGGAAAACCACAGAAGATCGTTCAAGTGCTTGGGCCCCTGCCACGCATGTGGGAGACCCAGATGGACCCCCGGCTCCTAGCCTTGCCCTGGCCTACACCTGGCTGCTAACGGACATGTGGGGAGTGAACCGGTGGACGGAAGATCTCTGTTTCTCTCTGTCACTCCGCCTTTCAAAGAAATAATACATTTTTAGAAAATAAAATGAGAGCGATAAGTCCCCCTGCCACATGAAATGGCTGTGAGCATGAACAAAGTCATGAATGCGTCAAAAGCAGATAGCGCCGGATGCCCCGCATGCTGAGCACGTCATTTTCACAGGGAACTTCCTTTCTACTCCACATACTTCCAGACTGGAATTTCTTGTCTGTGAGTATGTATTAGTTTTGTTCTTTAAACTAGTAGCCCCTGGCATCCCCTGATGTCGCACACCCACTGTTTGGTTGCACACCCACTCCTGAAAAAGCTGGATTTTGGTCTCTTTCTTGACATTTTGGTTTCTCAGTCTGCTCCCATTTGAAAGGAAACAGTGGGGACCTCCTGTCACACACCCTCCATCATTTTTATTCCAATGTAAAGCTTTTACCTCATGGTTTGATTTTTTTTCCCACCTTTTGAATATGAAATTTAGAAAATAAGCGAGTTGGAAAATTGAATAATCAACATGCAGCTGCCTAAGTCAAGCAGTTACTATTTTGTCAAATCTGCTTGGTGACATATTTGGGGGGACTGTTTCCTGGGTTGCTTGCAGGGGAGAAGACAGGGCAGCACGTCAGCTGTGGCCACTGGCACCTGTTCTCTTAAACAGAAGGGTACCTGCCCTGCTGCTCCAGGGAAGAGCACAGCCCTCGTGTGTGTCAGGGATCCAGTCCAAGTCAGATTGCTCTGTAACTTCCAAAAATGTCATACAGCTTTTTTCATTTTTTCCTTTAAATCCAAGATCCAGTCAGAGTTCATGTGTCGGCCATTAGGCCTCTTGAGATTCCTTGATCTAAGTCCGGTCTTTCCCCTGACCTTTTTTTTTTTTCCCCCTTCAGTTTTCTTATAGTCTCTGTCTTTCCCTTAGGGGCCAGGCCAGACTCTTCTAGAACATGCCAGCTTCTTTCTGTCTCTAGAAGTACAGGAATATTTCCTTGCACAGGGTCCTAACCAGCCATAGTTCTATCAGGTCTCTATCTCAGGACATAGCAAAAGCACCTCTGAAACTTTTTCTGATGTGACACTAGTTTTTCTGGGGGTGAGTGCAGCCTCAGCAGTGATGATGGCCAACCGACCAGGAGCCTAAGAGAAGGGAGAACTGCAGGGCCACTGGACAGCCAGATCCTTGGAGGGAACTAAGATATTCACAGGGTTAGCAGTAGGAACCCAAACAATGGTGGAGTTGAGTCACTTTGTCTTACCTGTGTCAAAAACACAGTGGGCTTCCCAGATACCTGGAGCCTCTGTTTCCATGAGTGAAGCCTTCTAGAAACCTGACTTTCTCCATAACCCCATAGGCAAGTTCTCTAAGATACCAGAACCTCTTAGGCTCATACGCCTTGAATTCTGCAGTCTGGGAAACCCCGTCTCTCCCAGACCATCATTTGGAGCCTCATCCCAGGCTGGCTGTCCTTTTTGTGGCCAATGTCCTGTGCAGCTCTGGGCTTCCTGCGCTGTGGTACTTCTATCCACTGCTGCCCTCTCCCACAGCCCATCTCTTGCCTTCCCAGAGTTCACCCTGCACCCCCAGGTTTTGGTCCCCTCTCTGCAAGGACACAGTGCCCTGTTACCCTTAAACAAAGACCACACCCTCTCCTCCACAGGCTGCTGAGCCCTGAACAGCACCTGGGTCTTTTCTTTGCTTGTAGAGGCACACAGTCACGGCAGAACTTTAGAAAATATAAAGTTAAAGATAAAAGTAGGCGATCCAGAAATAATCAACTAATAATACATAGCTGTTTTCCCCCATCTTTGTTCTATGCATATCTATTCTGACCATATTTTTTTTAAATCTACATCATATTTATACATCTGGCTTTTTTTTTTTTTTTTTTTTTTTTTTTTGGACAGGCAGAGTTAGACAGTGAGAGAGAGAGAGAGAGAGAGAAAGGTCTTCCTTTTCCATTGGTTCACCGCACAATGGCCACTGCGGCCGGCGCACTGTGGCCGGCGCACTGTGGCCAGCACACCGCGTTAATCCGAAGCCAGGAGCCAGGTGCTTCCTCCCGGTCTCCCATGCGGGTGCAGGGCCCAAGGACCTGGGCCATCCTCCATTGCACTCCCGGGCCACAGCAGAGAGCTGGACTGGAAGAGGAGCAACTGGGACAGAATCTGGCACCTAGATCCCGGTGTGCCGGCGCCGCAGGCAGAGGATTAGCCTATTGAGCCACGGCGCCAGCCTACATCTGGCATTTTTTTCACCTGAAATATTGTGGATTCTACCTGTATACTAGATAGTCTTGGAAAAGATGATTGTTAATATACTGTAACTTACTTAAATTCCCCCTTTGGGTAGGCATTTAGTGTTTTTCCATTTGTTTCAGTGTTAAAAACAAATACTACAACATTTTTGTGCCCAAATCAATGAATATTTTTGGATAGATTCCTATAGATGAGATTTTGGGTGAAACAGGTTGGGGGACATTTACAGTTTTTGATGAATATTGCCAAATTGCTTTCAGGAAGGCATGCGCCCATTCGTAGTTCTACAGCTAAGTGTGAATGTGCCCTCCACGAGCATTGTCATTGGTTCCACCTCTGCGTCCCTGGCCAGGCCTGGCCCATACTGTGCTTGGATCACAAAGCCCCTCCCTGCAGGCAGATGGTCGCTGTACAGAGGCTCGACCTCTGCTGGGGGTTCTGTGAGGACTGACCTGCCCAGCTGGGTGTGGTGCACAGATTTCGCCATTGTATGTAACTCTCCTGGGCTCGCCTCATGGCAGGATACCAAGGGGAGCAGAGCTGTGAAGCTTCAGCACGTCACACCTGCTGCCAAGCAGCTCCGCCTCTACCTGTTTTACATGTCAGGGACTCTGCCTAAGATACTTTTGGAAGAAGTTATACCCCTGAAAAATCAAGATTTGAAAACCACTTCTCAGCCCACAAGGTTTCTCACGGTCGATCTCTGGGCTGCCCTGATTGCTCCTCTCCCTCTGAGAACCAGCCCCTGTCCATTGCCTTTTCCCAAGTGCTTCCTGCCCTCTGCAGCCCTGGCTTCACACTTGATGCCCCTCATCAGGGACTTACCTCATTCGCCTGTCAGTTTGAAACCCATGGCACCTTCTCCAAGAAGTCTGCCCTGTGCTGTGATTGTGTGTGTACCTGCCTCCACACTGGATAGAAAGCCCTTGGAGTGCAGGAATGCAGCTCTTTACCTCCCTTGCACAGTGCTGGGTGCACGGTAGGAACTCAGTGCATGGCTGAATGGATGAACAAACAAACCATTGATTGGCAGTATTATCGATAAGCATCTGTCGCTGCTCAGTGTGCCTTTTCCTACCCAGTCTGACTGCGCGAGTCCCTGGGAATAGTCTTGGAGCACGAGTCTGGGTTAATCTACACCTACAGGTGTTAAGGTGTGTAAGCAAATAACCTGCTTTCTTGCTCTCCCCTCTGTGCCTCAGCTTACTCGACGATTGCCGCCCATCAAGGAAGCCAAACCTCGGTTACAGAAGCTCTTCCGGGACTTCTGGCTCTACTCCGTCCTGATGGGGTTTGCTGTGGAAGGGTCAGGTAGGGGACGATCCCTCTCCAGTGGAAACAGAGGTAGGCAGGTCTCCCTCGTCATGATCATGAGCAGTGAGTGAGACCAAATGCAGCTGCAAACATACTTCCCCGATGGAGCTTAGGGGACTCAGAATACCACATGAGGAAGGGAAAAGCCGCCCAAGGTAGGAAGTTTTACATTTTTAAAAATGTATTTGAGGGGCCCGGCACTGTGGCGTAGCAGGTAAAGCCGCCGCCTGCAGTGCTGGTATCCCATGTGGGTGCCAGTTCGAGTCCTGGCTGCTCCACTTCCCATCCAGCTCTCTGCTATGGCCTGGGAAAGCAGCAGAAGATGGCTCAAGTCCTTGGGCCCCTGCACCCATTTGGGAGACCCAGAAGTTGTTCCTGGCTCCTGGCTTCAGATTAGCACAGCTCCGGATGTTGTGGCCAATTGGGGAGTGACCCAGTGGATGGAAGACCTCTCTCTCTCTCTCTCTCTCTCTCTCTCTCTCTGTGTGTGTGTGTGTGTGTGTGTGTGTGTGTAACTCTGAATTTCAAATAAATCTTAAAAAAAAAAAAGATTTGAGGGCTGGTATTGGGACATGGTAAGTTAAACTGCTGCTTGCTATGCAGGTATCCCATATCAGAGCAACAGTTCAAGTCTGATTACTCCTCTTCCAATCCAGATGGCCCAAGTGGTTGGGCCCCTGATACCCAGGGAGGAAACCAGGATGGAGTTCCTGGCTTAGCTTGACCAAGACCTGGCTGTTGCAGCTATTTGAGGAGTGAACCAGCAGATGGAAGACACCTGTCTCTCTCTCTTTCTCTCCCTCTCTCTCCATTGCTCTGCTTTTTGAATAAGTAAATAAATCTTTAATTAAAAATAAGTAAATAGCTGTCAGTACTGTGGTGCAGTGGGTTATGCCACAACCCACAGGGCTGGTGTCCCATATGGGCTCCAGTTCAAGTCCCAGCTACTCCATTTCCAATCCAGCTCTCTGCAAATGTGCCTGAGAAGGCAGTGGAGGATGGCCCAATCCTTGGGCCCCTGCACCCACGTGGGAGACCTGAATGAGTTTCCTGGCTCCTGGCTCCTGGCTTTGGCCTGGCCTGGCTCTGGTTGTTGGAGCCATTTGGGGAGTGAATCAGCAGATAGAAGATCGATCTCTCTCTCTCTCCCTGTCTCCCTCTCTCCCTGTCTCCCTGTCTCCCTCTCTCCCTCTCTCCTTCTCTCCCTCTCCCTCTCCCTCTCTCCCTCTCTCCCTCTCCCTCCTTCTCCTTCTCTCTCTAACTGTGTCTCTAGAATAAATAAAAGCTTTTAAACAAGTAAATAAAGAGACAGCAAGAGATTTCTTCCTCTGGTTCACTCCCCAATTGTCCACAATGGCCAGGGACTAGGCTAGGACCAGAGCTGGGAGCCAGGAACTCAATCCAGGCCTCCCATGTCGGTGATGGGGACTCGATTACCTGAGCCTTCGTCTGCTGCTCCTGAGTGCACATTGGCAGAAGCTGGAGCTGAGAATGAACCAGGCACTCCAGCGTGGGACGGTGCATCCTAACTGCTGGGCTAGATGCCTTCTCCCAGCCGCATTCCTGTGCCCTGTTTTGGGATAATTGCCTCAACAGAGCCACACCTCTAGAAACAGTCAGCATGTACGCCAGCGCAGTGCTGCCCAGCCATGGCAACTGTCTCCGTTTGCATTCGCTCTCTCACAGGACTCTGGCCAGAAGAGTGGTACGAGGGCGTCTGTGAGATAGCCACCAAGTCCCCCCTGCTCACCTTCCCCAGCAAGGAGCCGCTGCGGTCTGTGCTGCAGTACAACTCAGCCATGAAGAACGACACGGTCACCCCCGTACGGCTTCTCCTCTTGTCTGCGCGGTGCTGCCGTCGTGTGGAACGCTCTGGCGGCTCTGTTCATTGTCCTGTCTCCCTGCAGGCTGAGCTGAGCGAGCTCCGCAGCACCATCATCAACCTGCTGGACCCTGCTCCTGAAGTGTCCGCCCTCATCAGCAAGCTGGACTTCGCCATGTCCACCTATCTCCTGTCTGTGTACCGGCTGGAGTACATGAGGTACGCAAGCCCGCACCCCCATGCCCATCCACCATGGAGCAGGTGTTCCTCTCTGACGTCCTTCTAGCCGTGGCACTTGTTTCTACTACCCTTCCACACAAGTGCGAAGCACCCCTCCTTCCTGAGTGCCAAACACCATGTTGACAACACATCCCGGTGTCTAAACTTCACCAGCCCCTCTCTCACAGGCAGGAGACTGCTGAGCAGTCACAGCCACAAACTCAGTCCCCGATCCCTGATCGGACAAGGGCCCTGCTGAGGAGCCAGCTCTCACTGAGCTGGTCCATAGTTGGGTACATCAGCAGGTGCGATGTGGGAGGCTGGCATCCTCACAGTCCTGCAGGTGGCCTAACGCTTAGGGTGCACCTGTGAGCGCGGCCATCCTAACAAGTCTGATTGCCGCCACAGTAACATCGGGAGCTAGCGTGGACTTAGTGCTCAGGCTGCACCAGGCGTTGTGCTGAGTTACCCGTGTTGATGCACTCGTCCTCCAGCAGTCCTGTGAGGTGGGCACTGTTACATACTCCTACAGACGAGGAGATGGAGATACTAAGCCGTTAATTGCTCAAGGGTTAATCCCTGATGTGGATTGAAACCCAGGCAGTCAGTCTCCTAAGCACTGCCCTGCAGCCTGTCCCAAGTGAAGACTGGAGAAAGCAGCCGAGGTGCCCAGAGCCCAGCTGCCTGGAGTTGGCCAGCATGGGTCCTGCAGACCCACTGTGGGAGGGCCTGAGGCACCCTAGGACCGTGCCCAAATATGATAGCTTAACAAAGCGATGCTGTCTGTCATCCTGTGACGGTCACATTACACCTAGCTTGTTTGTCACAGGAAGGCTGCGATAAACCAAATGATAATTTCTTTTCCAAGTGATTTGAGAAAGAACAGTGTAAGTTCTTAAAAGGAGACAATTTTGGAAAACATTTTTTTTAACCCTTCTTTGGTGCCATGAAACACTCTGGTAAGAAGTAGCTTACTTGAATGTAAAAAAGATATAGGTGTTTTGGTTGAGTGGGAGTGCAGGCCTCTTTCCCCCCCACCCCAATCCCCTTTGCTCCTCTCAGCAGCCAGAGGGCAGAGCATAATTCGAAAACTAATTACTCATTCTCCCCAGAGCCCCACAGAATCTAGGGAATTTTGACTTTCTTTTCTATTTTCATTATACAATTTTTTTCTAAATTCTCAGCTATAAAAGTCATTTGGGAACATTGCACAAAACCTTCCATTATTAGTACAAGGGAAAAGAAGTCACTGACCTCACCACCATCCCCTGTAGCATATTAATGTAGCCCCTTATACTCTTTTTTTTTTTTTTTTTTTTTTTTGCTAAGAGTATGTTTTCAAAGAAAAACAAGCCAGAACAAAAACAGAGCAAAGCCATGGTTTTAACCCTAGTGTGGATGGCTGAAGAGATGTCTCCAGACCCCCTCAAGCTCATGTGCTCCAAGGCAGGCCTGGCTCCAGCCTCCCCATGGGAGCCAGTGCCCCGAGTGCTGGTCTCAGGTTCTTAGGACAGATTCCGAGTTACTGGCAGACAAGGATACTAAGAGGCCAACCCACAGGCAGCTACATGATCCCTGCCCCAGCCTGGGCTGCCTGCCAGGTCCTTGAGAGCCATGTCCTAGTCTGGAGAGACAACTCCAAAGCCTCGGGCAAGAACCTGGCTTAGCTTCCCCAGCCCCTGGTCATTAGGAGAGCTTTAAACCACCAAGTGGAAAACGTGGGAAGTCAAGTTAAGCCGTGTAAACATGAGCACTCGAGGAGGCGCGTGCTTCCTGCCACCTGGCCTACCCCAGTGAAGCTTAACTCTTTTTTTTTTTTTTTTTTTTTTAAGATTTATTTATTTGAAAGTCAGAGTTACACAGAAAGAGGAGAGAGGGAGAGAGAGAGAGAGAGAGAGAGAGTCTTACATCCGATGGTTCATTCCCCAATTGGCCACAACGGCTGGAGCTGTGCCAATCCAAAGCCAGGAGCCAGGAGCTTCTTCCAAGTCTCACATGCAGGTGCAGGAGCCCAAGGACTTGGGCCATCTTCTACTGGTTTCCCAGGCCATAGCAGAGAGGTGGATTGGAAGAGGAGCAGCTGGGACTTGAACCGGCATCCATATGGGATGCCGGTGCCCCAGGCCAGGGCGTTAACCTGCTGTGCCACAGTACCGGCCCTGAGGCTTAACTCTTGAAAAGCTGCATGGAGGTCAATGGTAGGGGAGCTGTGGTTGAACCAAAGTACACTCATTTCTTTCCTTTTCTCCCTCAGATTAAAGGTATTTTTTCCTGTAAAAGTAATGTCAGGGGCCAGCGTTGTGGTACAGTGGGTTTAAGCTATAGCTTGTCTCACCAGCATCCCATATCAGAGTGCTGGTTCAAGCCCCAGCTGCTCTACTTCTCTGATTCAGCTGCTTCCTTTAGCACCTAGGAAGTCAGCACATGATGGCCTGAGTGCTTGTGGCCCTGCCACCCACGTGGGAGCCCGGATGGAGTTTCTGGCTCCTGGCCCAGACTTGGCTTTTGCAGCCATTTGAGGATATAACCCTGAGGGTATATCCTTGTGGTAGGGTTGCTGGTTGAAAATAAGGGAATTTGGCCAGCGCCGCGGCTCACTAGGCTAATCCTCCGCCTGCGGCGCCAGCACACCAGGTTCTAGTCCTGGTTGGGGCACCGGATTCTGTCCCAGCTGCTCCTCTTCCAGTCGAATCAGCATAGCGTGCCGGCCGCAACGCATCGGCCGTAGCGGCTACTTGGGGGTGAACCAGCGGAAAAAGGAAGACCTTTCTGTCTCTCTCACTGTCCACTCTGCCTGTCAAAAAAAAAAAAAGGAGGGGGGGATTTGTGATCAGTGGTGCATGTCACCGTGACCCTGCAGAGTGTTCACATGGGTGTGTGCTCCTGTAAATTGATGGAGACCTGTGTTCCTGCAGCCCCACCAGTTCTGGGCAGTATCAGATATGTGACAGGGAGGGCCTGGGTTTTTCACAATGTAGTTTAAAACTGTTCTCCTTGTTAGGGTACTGCGTTCAACAGATCCTGACCGCTTCCAGGTAATGTTCTGCTACTTTGAGGATAAAGCTATTCAGAAAGACAAATCGGGTAAGCTTATTATTATGGTATTTGCATGATCAATTGCGCTTTCATGGGATGAAAAGGAATGGTGCTTCATGCTTTTTGTCTGCTTGGAAAAAATAGTTTAGGTGGTTATATACATTAGGCAGTTGTGTGCATTGAAAAGACCAGTATGAAGCATATAAGCTTAAAAATGACCTTTTTCCAGCCCTGCCACTGCTGTGAGGGGCCCATGCAGAAGCAGCCCACCACCCATGCTCGAGTGTGCACTAGCACCCAGACTTGGGCCCCAGTGCTGGCCTGCAGGGCCACTCACATTGTTGGACTTGGAGGACCTTGCTGTTGGCAGAGCACTCCATGCTTCGTATATGTCAGGAGCAGGCTGGGAGGACCAGGGGGACCAATTTAAAGGAACCCTTGGTGGACAGATTAGCTTAATGTGAACATAAGTAAGACATTCTTAATACTTTACTTATTTGAAAGAAATTTATCCTAGGAAGTATGAATTCATAATGGTACTCTAAAATAAGCAAAACTTAACAAAAAACAGAAGATGGTTGTAATTACGAAAGGATGAATGCAGGCATCCCCTAGTATCTTTGGAGGTCTGGTACCAGGACTCCGTTGATACCGAAAACCACCATGCTCATGCTCATGCTCTCTGCCTTATATAAAATGGCAAAGTGTTTGCATATGATCTGCATATATCCTGCCGTATTCTTTGATCATCTCCAGATTGCTTCTAATAACCTAATGTAGTACTGTGTAAATAATTGTTATACCATATTATTAAAAGAATAATGACATGAAAGTCTACGCATGTTCAGTATAGGCATAATTTTTTTTCCCAGATATTTTCGGCCTACAGTTGGTTGCATCCAGGGATGCAGAATGGAGAGCTAATTATACACACATGATGTTTGTTTCTTCCATTAAGTCTTTGTGAAGTGGGAACATGTAGCTGTTTCTCTTTTTTATAAGCTGGGAAGAGGGAAGACACCAGGAAAGAGCCACACGGTCTAAATACAGTTCCAGCACCAGCACCAGGGGGACTGTGACCGTTGGCCTCAGTGACCAGGCAGAAAGGGTGTCCAGTGGGCATCCAGTTCCACAGAATAGCCAGTGACGGATGCTTGTGCCCTGAAGCTTCCACGGAGAGCTGGCAGTGAGCTCAGCCCTCATTGTGAGCGTCTGCACACCCCAGTAGCCCTGCAGAGTAGGGAGAGAACCCATTCAGGGCCGCCGGGCGGCAGGCCAGGCCCTGTGCCGTTTCTGGGAACACGCCAGGATGTGGAACTCTGTATGAAACACAGTCCTAGCAGCAGCGTCATGCACAGAGGGCCTCGGCTGTCAGCGGTCCCGACCCGGAGGACAGAAAAGTGACGGGAACTCTGGGAAGGCACCAGACACTGGCCAGGGACACACAGTCGGCAGAGGGGTGGAAATGTTCTGCATCTCGTCCGGGTGGTGCCTAAATGGGTGAATACAGTTGTTTCGTGTCCTCAGATTAAACCCATGATGTTTGTGAATTGCCATATGTGCAAGTTGTACCTCAATTTTTAAACATTTCAAAGGACTCACACTAGAGTTTTGGAAAAGTTTAGCCTAAGAAAAAGAGGTAGTGAAATGGAGACAGCAAAGAAAAAGGTTAAATGAGTGATACAAACACTTTTTGACCAATTTTAGTTTAAGGAGACTAATATGTCTAATTCATAAGGTTTTAAACAAATTGAGATGTTGAAATATTAAACCTGGTTTAATTAAATGCTTACAGTAATTTGATTAGTTTTTGTGATCATGTTTAAATATGCAGTGGAATTGGGTAGAATCCACAAATTTTTGATTAACAGTATAGACACAATTTTTGAGGAATAATGATTAATTCTTTTTTTTAAAGAATTATTTTATTTATTTGAAAGTCAGAGTTACACAGAGAGAGAAGGAGAGCCAGAGACAGAGAGAGGTCTTCCATCTCTGGTTCATTCCCCAGTTGGACACAATGGCTGGAGCTCAGCCAATCCAATGCCAGGAGCTTCTTCCAGGTCTCTCCGCAGGTGCAGGGGTCCAAGGACTTGGGCCATCTTCTACTGCCTGCCCAGGCCACAGCAGAGAGCTGGATCAGAAGAGGAGCAGCTGGGACTCGAACCAATGCCCATATGGGATGCCGGCTCTGCAGGTGGCAGCTTTATCCGCTACGCCACAGCACCGACCCTGATTAATAAAGTCTTAACATGAACAAATTTAGTTATCAATTAAGTACAACTACTAGTGAGTAGTTGATGCCAGAAGTCCTTCTTTTTCATGCCTGAAGCTGTTGGCACATTGATGAATCTGTCAGTTTGTTCTTGTAGTGTGAAGTTATCGCCAGGTACTTTGGATACTGTTTTTCCCCTGGGTTGAAAAACCAATGCTTGAAGAAAATGTGTTTTAAAAAGCCACTCTAGGGACTCTTGAGATGCTGTTTCATAGAAGACTTTGATCCAAAAAGCCCTTCACAGAGCCCTTCACACTGCTGCACCCCAGCCAGGGAATGAGGTGTTTGGATTTATTTCTGCAGCTGGGAACCAGTGGGGTTGGCCAGGAAGGAGGAGGTGAGGGTTTTAGAAGTTCCCTCTGCTGGAAGGATTGGAGTGAGCCAGAGTGGCCGTTTCTATAGAAGGAAGGGCAGAGAACACCCCAGAAGCGGCCTCCCGCTGCGAGGCTCTCACACACCCAGCTTGGGGTGGAGAGGAGGTGCTGTCTGTCGCTGGCTGAGCCGTCCGTCCCCACCCCACCCCACCCCCATTTGCAGCTAGTTGTGCCAGACAGTTGGCTCACCCTGAGATGCTTTGGCTCCAGCAGGGAGAGTAAGAAGGAAAAAATAAAATAAAATGTGAAGCTGCCAGTCCCTAAGGGACCTAAGGACCTAGCGCGTTCTGCCAGCCTCCAAGGGGACATCCGTGGGTGGAATGAGACCCCCTTCAAGTGCGAGTCTCACCCGCCCCTCTGTTAGGGTGTCTTCAGAGGAAGTGAAATGGCACTGGGGAAAGTTGTGCTCTCCACCGCCACTTCATGCTCGGCTCTTCCAGGGGATTTCGAATTGTTTGTTTATTTTTGTTCTGAGTGTGGTACTTGAGTTAAGCCAGTACATATGCAGCTCTTGGGTTTGTTCCCTTCCTTTTCTCTCCCAAGATGTAGTTAGGAAGGAGACCTCTGTTACTCATGCATTTTCAGAACTGACTCAGGAGATGGGTATATGAAAAGTGTAGCCACCCCTGCCTCTTCTGCGCAGGAGTGAACTCCACCTCCGCGTGTTGCTGGCTGCGTGGGAGTGTGAGGGCAGGAGCTGCTCACCTGCCAGCCGTCTAGTTAGTACACCGGGAGAGCAGAGCCAGCCTTAGGTGCTACTGCGTGATAGTGATTGGCATCCAGCCGCTATTTGATTATTTTAAATTAGGGAACATACAGTTTTAGTTTCCTGAGAACTATATGGAAAAATTTTATAATATATATCCCTAAAATTTCACCCACCCCAGCCACCCTCTTAAGAAAGCAGCCTCTTGGGGCCAGCACTATGGCGTAGCCAGTAAAACCGCCACCTGCAGTACCAGCATCCCATATGAGTGCCGGTTCAAGTCCTGGCTGTTCCACTTCCCATCCAGCTCTCTGCTATGACCTGGGAATGCAGTAGAAGACAGCCCAAGTCCTTGGACCCCTGTAACTGCATGGGAGACCCGGAAGAAGCTCCTGACTCCTGACTTAGGATTGGTGCAGCTCCAGCCATTGCAGCCAATTGGGGAGAGAACCAGCAGTTGGAAGACCTCTCTCTCTCTCTCTCTCTGCCTCTCCTTCTCTCTCTGTGTAACTCTGACTTTCAAATAAAATAATTTTTTTTTTTTTTTAAAGCAGCCTCTCTCTACCCTTAGGCATCTGTCTGGGGCACACTTTTCAGACTGCTGACTGCTGTGTTAGGACCCATTCAGCCTTGTAACAAACAGTTGTGAAATACCTTTTTATGTCTCAGGCTCTGAGCTGGGCCCAGGGATACAGTGTTGGTAGTTGTGCCTAGTCTCTGCTGTTACAGAAGACAGCCCTGTTACTTAGCCATCCTAGTTGAAGACACTGCAAGTGGGGTAGGCCTTTGGCACAGCAGTGAAGTTGCCGCTCGGGGCACCTTTGTCCCCTGTCCGAGCGCCCGGTTTAAGTCCTGGCTCCTGTCTCCAATGCAGCTTCCTGCTAATGTGCACCATGGGAGGCAACAGAAGATGGCCCAGTACCTGGGTCCCAGCAAGTACAAGGCTCCCAGCTTCAGCATGGTCCACCTCTGATTATTGTGAACATTAAATAAATACAATAAAAAAAAAAAAAAAGGCAGACACTGGGTAGAGCACAGCATTGTGGAGTATGAATTGATGTATCTTAAGATGCTTGCTTCTGGGCTACCACTCTCAGGGTGTTCTGTTGCTTTTTGTGATTTTTGTTTTTGTTTTTTAAGAAACAGTGCTCCCATTCATTCCCCTAATGCCTGCAAAAGCCAGGACCAGACTAAAGCCAAGGGCCAGGAACTCAATCCAGGTCTCCCAAATGAGTGGCAGGGGCCCAGCCACTTGAGCCATCACTGCTTCCTTTTAGGGTGCACATTAGCAGGACACTGGATTCAGGGGTGGAGCTGGAACTCGAACCCAAGCACTCCAGCATGGACTATGGGTGACCCAGCCACAGTGTCTTAACCTCTAGGCCAAAGGCCCTGTTGCTTATGCTTCTGTGACAGTGAACACGCCTGGTGCTCAGACCTTGGTTTCTAAATGCCAGTCTCCAGTGTAGGAACTGGGGCTCTTTGGAGAAATGGCTTGTTTTAGGGAGGGCTGGAACAAGGGAAATATAAGATGAGCCTGGGGTCCTTTGTCATGCCAGAAAGTAAGTATGTGCTAAGAAAGGAGAAGGGGCAGAAAAGGCGTGGGGAGTGTCAGGCCACGGGAGCCAACCCCAAAGCTGGAATGATGTGAGCAAACAAAATAATGATAGTATCGGATTATAACCTGATGAGTAAGATGCCCATGAGTCAAGCTTTGCCCAGTGGCAGTATCATAACCAGTGAGATGCATCCAAGGCACAATTGCTGCTAATTGAAAACTCCCCAGTGCCCCAACACAATGACTTGAAATGTAGCTGGCGTTGAAAATTCTGCGGCCAAATTCCACAAGTCCATACTAGTCCATAGTAGATCATTGAACAAGAATTGGAGAAGGAAGGACAAACCCAAGAGTTCCTGTAAGTTTCTACTTTCTGTAGGATGAGGAAAATAGGAAAGCCTGGGACGGCCACCACACTGCAGGCAGAATCCACTGACGGCTGCTAGCGAGCAGAGCTTTAAAGAGAAACGGCATCTCTGCATACCCTCCCAGTGTCTTACCCAAGTATTGGTAGTTGATGTGGGATTTTTAACTCTCATCCACAAGTTCTCTTCAGGGATTACCACTTAATTCCTGGGTGCTAAGTGTGGGCTGGACCCAGTGACTGACTTCTAAAGAGTTGAGAATAGAAAGGGAAAGCTATCCCTGAAAGCAGGCGATCAAAGTTAACCCAGCCGTGATAGGAGATGCTGATGGCATGTACCTTGACAGGATATGACAAGAAGGGCCGCAGTGCTGTTCTCCCCAGACCTGAGCACCAGACGATTAAATTGGGGGGAATTTTAAAAAGCCCTGTATTCAGAAGTGTCAAGGTGGCAAAAGACAAGGACGAGCAAGGAACCGGCAGAGGCTGAGGCATCCTGAATTGGCTCCTTGCGCGGAGAAGGAAAATGATTGGGAGAACTGGGAAAATGCAGGTGGAGCCTAAAGTTTTGGCAAACGCAGCCTTGGTTGCAGCCTGTGTTAACATCCGGGGAAGCCAGAGAAGGGTCTGCAGGAACCTGGCCATCTTTGACAGCTCTCAACCTTAAAATCATTCAAAAGAAAACACTTGCAGATAGCTAAGCTCAGACCCTTTGTGTTGCTGCGCCTGATCCGCGGAAACCTCCTTCTCGTTCCAGGCATGATGCAGTGCGTGATTGCTGTGGCAGACAAAGTATTTGATGCCTTCCTGAACATGATGGCGGACAAAGTAAGCCTCCCCAGGGTGTGAGCGTGTGTCCTCTGGGGCCCCTCGAAGGGCGCCGGCGCACCTGTCTCTCCTGACTCTCCAGGCAAAGACCAAGGAGAATGAGGAGGAGCTGGAGCGGCACGCGCAGTTCCTGCTGGTGAACTTCAACCACATTCACAAGAGGATCCGGAGGGTGGCGGACAAGTACCTGTCTGGCCTGGTGGATAAGTGAGTTCACGTTCCTGCTCACGTGGAGCCTGAGCACGCGTGTGTGCGTGTGTGTGTGTGTGTGTGTGTGTGTACACAGCTGTGATCCGTAATGCAGCGAAAATCACCCGGACTCAGCAGTACAGACAACAGTGGAGTCAGAGTGAAAATGCCCAAGGCATTGCTCCCACAGGATGTTGGTGAGTTTGCCACAGAGCCACTCACTCTCGGCTGTCATTGCTAGAGTGCGTCTCTCACTATTCAGGGGGCTGCAGTCCCTATGTCTCCGAATCCCACCCTGGTGCCACCCAGCCCACCATCTCCTAGCCAAGGGCACAGGCAGAGGTCTGGTGTCCTCAGGGCATCTAGAAACAAAAACCCATGATCATCCCTTTCTACTTCATGCCTTCGGTGCTGGGAGCCAGGGAAGACCCACCTAGGACAGGTCTGCAGGCCAGTCAGAGGTGGGCTTGGCCAGCGTCTCTGAGACATGAAAGCCAGAGGCAACAGACAGGCACACCGAGCCTGCCACAGATGCCACATGCTGGGTCCAGGCAGCAGCGCCGACTATGTGTGGGTCCAGAGCCAGCCAGGGGCCATGAGAGCCAGTCCAACACACACCTGGCATGGTTGGAGCTGGGCTCCCTGAGCAGTGGGCCATGATGAGTTACAGCCACATGGGCATACCATTCCTGCAGCTATGGGGCTGCCAGAGCTGGTCATTTTCATCTTCTCTTAAAATTTTTTTTTAATTTATTTTTGTTTGAGAGTCAGAGAGAGAGAGAGCTCCCATTCACTGATGTACCAACCAAATGCCCACAACAGTAGAGCCAGGCCAAAGCTGGGGGAGCGAGGAGCTCCATCCCAGTCTCCCATGTGGATGGGCCGTCACCTGCTGCTTCCCAGGATGTGCATTAGCAGGGAGCTGGAGTAGGAAGTAGAACTGGGACTCAACCCAGGCACTCGGATAAGGGACATGGGTGTCCTAACCAGCCAAACCCCCACCCCACCCTGTGTTTACCCTGGGGCTGTCAGGCAGCTACTGCTGTTTTCTGTTTGTGCCATGGGGTGAGAAGTCCTGTGGGGAGAGAAGGCTGTGGCCTGGTTGCTATAACCAGGCCAGCTGGTGTTGTCAGAACAGGCCGCTTAGACTGTGTCTGACCCTGAGGAGTGGGACTGCCCGGGGCCTGGAGAGCATCTCTGAGCTGGCACTCACTACCCACCTCACTGCAGAGAGTCTTGGGGTAGGGGCATCCTGCCTCGGGGCCTCCTGACCCCCGCTTTGAGCAGCCAGCCACAAGTGGTGCAAGGGAAGGTGGCAGAGGTGGGGTGCCCACCAAGGCACAGGTGGGACGGGCCCTGAGAGCCGGCTCTCTGTGCAGGTTTCCCCACCTGCTGTGGAGCGGGACTGTCCTGAAGGCCATGCTGGACATCCTGCAGACGCTGTCGCTGTCGCTGAGCGCCGTGAGTGTCAGCCCCTGCACCTGCTGAGTTGGGAATGGGGCCCAAATCCCACCCTGGTGTTTGCAGTAAGCCCCAGCCAGCTGGGGAGCCTGTCCAGATGGACATGTGGTGGGGTGGGAAGTGGTGGGGGCCCTGTCGGGGACGTGGCGGCGGCAGCCTGGGGAAGGCGGTTTGGGAGAGGGAGTCTCCCTGTGCTTGCAGGACATTCACAAGGACCAGCCTTACTATGACATCCCCGACGCCCCCTATCGGATCACCGTTCCCGACACATGTGAAGCCCGAGAGGTAGGCGCAGCGCGGTCCCGCAGCAAGGGCTGTTTTCACTACCATTCCCTAAGTGTGTGAGGGCAGGTGCCTGAGGTGTGGCAGACCCTCCGTCCCCAGCAGTTTGCAGTGTGGGTGGTCCCGTCCCACAGAGGAGCCATGAGCTGTGCTGAGATCCCCGTACAGGCTTGCGTGTCCTCCAGGCCCATGCTCACCTCCGGGCCTCGCTGACTCCTGGCTGTAGTCTCACTTTCACTGCCAAAGAGCTTTTCAGCTACAACGCAGTTCCTGTCCTGTCAAATCTACACCACCTCACTTCCTCCAAGCATTTGACCTTGTTATTATGGTTAACGGAGTCACATGGCTTTGGCTTTGCACTGTGCTATGGGGAAGGGCAGAGGAAGTACAGTCGTTCCTCTTATTTGCACTTGTACTTTGCTGTGGTGTCATTTATCCCTGTGTACTACAGCCCAAAAATAGGAGTAGAAAATTCCTGAAATAAACAATTCCTGTTCAGAGTAGTGTGATGAAATGTCACACTCTCCCTCCCATAGCACACGTCAGCCCTTAGTCCACAGTAACCATGCTGTGTGTACCACTTGCTGGTGGCAGTTGAGAGAGTAACAGACCACATTATGTAACTGTCACTCAAGTATTTTGTTGTAGTTGTCCTGTGTTATTGTTATTTGTTATTTTTAATCTCTTATTGTGCCTAATTTATAGATTTAACACTAGCACAGGTATGTAGGTACAGGAGAAAATACAGCACAAAGGCACTTCAGAAAGTACATGGGAAATGCAATTAAAAGTATGAGTTAATTTGGGGCTGGCGCTGTGGCATAGCAGGTAAAGACGTAGCCTACAGTGCTAGCATCCCATATGGGTGCTGATTCAAGTCCCCACTGCTCCATTTCTAATCCAACTCTCTGTTATGGCCTGAAAAAGCAGTGGAAAATGGCCCAAGTCTTTGGGTCCCTGCACCCACGTGGGAGACGGGGAAGAAGCTCATAGATTCTGGCTTCAGATCAGCCCAGCTCTGGCCTTTGTGGCCATTTGGGGAGTGAAACAGTAGATGGAAGACAACTCTCACTCTCCCTCCCTTCCCCGTCCCCCGCCTGCCTGCCTGCCTGCCTCTCTCTCTCTCTCTCTCTCTCTTTCTTTCTGCCTCTGCCTGCCTTAGCCTCTCTGTAACTCTGCTTTCAAATAAATAAATCTTTAAAAAGTATGAATTAATTTTGGTGCAAATGAAAGTTTGAAATCTGTGCACATTTTCCGTATATTAAAGTTTTTTGGTACCAGAATAAACTCACGCCTTTTTTAAAAAAAGGATTTCTCTATTTTTTATTTTATTTTTATTTATCTTTTTGAAAGGCAAACTGACAGGAATATTCATCTACTGGCTCACCCCCAAAATAGCCACATCAGCCAGGATTGGGCCAGACCAAAGTCAGAAGCCAGGGACTGCCATCTGGGTCGCCCATGTGGGTGGCAGGGTCCCAAGTGCTTGAGCCATCGTCTGTGCCTTCCCAAGGGCATTAGCAGGAAACTAGATCAGAAGCAGAACCGCTGATGAGGATGTGGCTGTCTAACCCACCATGCCACAATACCTGCCCCTAAACTTAGACTTTTTATTCCATCTTCCGTGTACTTTTTTGGGGGAGGGGATGTGTGTATATGTATAGTACTTCCATGGATTCAGGCTGTCCCCTGAGGAACTTGGAACATGTCTCCTGCAGATAAAGGGGGCTGAGAGTATCTCAACTCGAGGAGGGGTACCAGGCGTCTAACTTGGGCCGGCCCTGCCGTAGTGGGATTGACTCAGCTCCGCCTGGGTCTCCTTCACCCTGGGGCAGGCTCACATTCCAACTCCAGCCTCCCAGACAGACCAGGTTGTCAGAGGGGAGTTTCCCCACACAGTGAGGTGATGCCTGTTTCCTGCACTTGTCACCCGCCTTCTCCTGCAGTCACTGTCCCAGGACAGTGTGGTGTATTGATCATGTCGATTCTGCCACACAGCCCTGCAGGTGTGGCTGTGGGCTTCCTGTCCCCACGAGCGTGGGGCTCAGACATGGTCGTGTCAGTCTGCTGGGGCTGTCATGGCAAAGTGCCATTGACTGGTGGCTTAACTAATGGAAATCATCTTCTCAAGCGTCTAAGTGCTGCAGGTCCACAGTGTTACAAGTCCTTGGCTTATAGGTAGCTGCATTCGGTGTGAGTTCCCACGCGGCCTTCCTCTGTGCTCACATCCCTGGTATGCCTGTGTCCAGATTTCCTCCTCTTGTAAGAACGTCAGCCAGATTGGGTTAGGGTCCACCCAGAGGGCCTGTTCATTCAGCCGCCTCTTCACCCGCCCTGTCCCTCCAAATGTAGACCCACCCTCAGGCTCTTGGGGTAGGAACTTGAGGAGACACAGTTCAGCCCATCAGTCACCACAGCAGCCCGAGGAGCTCATTTCAGACTTCTGAAAAGCCATCTCTCCCCTTCCAGAGCATTGTGAAGGACTTCGCTGCGCGCTGTGGAATGATCCTGCAGGAGGCCATGAAGTGGGCGCCCACAGTCACCAAGTCCCACCTGCAGGTACCTGCTTGGCATCTTCCGAGGTTCTCAGTGAGCTGTGCACTATCCAGAGAGCTTTATAGACAGCACTCAGACCAGACAGCACTGCACAGTGGGCCTGCACAGAGACCAGACGCAGCAGGCCCGTGCCTGGGAGCAGCAGGTGCTCAGTGGCGGTGCTGTGCTGGAGCACCTGCAGGGGTGAGTGTGCTGGTCGGGGCCAGCGAGCAGGTGACCGTCAGGAATCTCTCAGCACTGGGCCTCACGGCCTTCTGACTGTGTTCTTGCGTTCACTGCCAGAGAGGTGTTCAGCTACCAGGTCATGTCCTCTCAAGTCTGCATTGAGCCAGCATGATTGTGGCACCACCTCATATCCTCAAGGAGTGCCACTTTGTTATGAGGCTCAGAGTCACAGGGCTTTGGAGAGGGGCAGAGAACCTGACCACTCGACACAGGGTAAGGGGTAGAGGATGTGACAGGACTCAGGGGCTGTGGACAGTGTGGTAGGTGTGGATGGCTAGCAGACCCTGGCATCTGAAGACTAGGGCCTTCATTGGACCTCTGCCCCCAGCATGGGCTCGGCAGGGGCTGTGGAGGCTGAACAGGGACTTGTGTCTGTCCACAGCTCCACCCAGGCTGCACATGGAGGGGCAGGGGAGTCTTTATAGACAGCGACCCTGGGGTGTAACACAAGAAAGGCTGCAAGGTCAGCCTTTGTCTGGACTCGGTCAAGCAGAGACGGAACAAAAATGGCACATGACATACGAGGAAAGAGTCACATTGAAAGGAGTCAAAGATAAGAAAAAGGCCTCTAGGAGGGGTCTTGGTCAGCAGGGAGCAGACGTGGGGAGGGGCTTGGAAGCTGACCTCAGGACCACTTTCCAAGGTGAAGCCAGATTTTGGAAGTATTTGTGTGTGGCGCCCAGGAAGGACGGGGTGTCTGCCCTGTGGGCCTCTGAGGCCGTCTGGAAGTGCTCCGTGCAGGAGCCTGTGGGCTGGGCCCCACAAAAGTGCCGAGCAGTGAGAGTTGAGTGGTGGGGGACTAGGAGGAGACGGGCCCACAGGTGAGGCTGGACAGAGCAGGTCCTCGTATCTAGGCCACCTTTGCCATTTGGTGCACACTCGAATTCTTCAGATGGCGCTGTTTCTCACACTATTAGTATTTAGGGAATGTCTGATTTCCTTTGGTTCGTACAGTTTAAATAGCAGATCAGATCTGGCCAGTGTACTTCCCTTTTCACCTTGTTAGCCACTTCCCCTCACCGTGGGGGTACGTAAGTGGGTTTCTGGGGCTCCAGGAATCCCCCAACGTCACTGGTGCAATTTGGGGTGTAGAGCTGTGTACGCTTCACTGCAAAGGGTCTTATGAGTCCTTCCCAGGCCTAGAGGCCGTTCCAGCATAGCCTGCGTCTGGCCCAGGCGTGCCCCATACCCTCTGGGAGTTGGTGATCCTGAGGGCCGAGGCCCCCTCCTCCCCAGAGCAGGAGCCCCCACACACCTCTGGGCTCTGTCAGGTGTCCCTTTGCCCCTGCCCTTCTTCCAGTGGTGGACCAAACAGAATCAGGTGCTTGTTCTACACTCTTGTCCCTCCCTCCTGCCTCTCAGGTGCTACAGGGGCACTGCAGTGGTGGACAGGTGGCCTGAACCAGGGTGCCACACAGGCCATCCACACAGTGACAGAGCACCCAGGCTTCACAACCTGTTGCCAGCACTCAGCACAGCACCTGGCAAATGGCTGGTGCCCAGCAAGGATGTGCTAAATAAATGGTCTTGTCCCGTTGACCATGTGGCAGTGCACCCTTGTGTGGTGGCTGCTTGGGAATCGGGCCCTGCCCACATTTTCAGACGAGCAGTAGTGTGTGAGAGGGGCCTGAAGTCGGTGAAGGTTGCACAGCTGGTGAGTGGAGGTAGGCCTGGGATCAAAACCTGGGGTTTGTCCTCCACTCCACATCTTAGAATGGCATTTTATTGTTCCCTTTCAGTGGAATAGCATGTTTTTCTTCTTTTGCAGGAATATCTGAACAAACATCAGAACTGGGTGTCAGGCCTGTCTCAGCACACAGGGCTGGCCATGGCCACTGAGAGCATCCTACACTTTGCTGGCTACAACAAACAGAACACGACTCTCGGGGTACGTGCAGGCCTCCTGCAGAGCAGGAAGCCCCTTAAGCCAGGGGAGGACTCAAGCTCATGTGTGGCTTTTCACAGTAGGCCCCCCTGGCACCATCAGGTCACATGTGTGTATCTGTTGGCACGGTCTAAAGAAGAGGTGGCTTTGCACTTTGAGCATGTGGATTTATGGAGCTCAAAGCCTGATTCATTGATGAGAGTGGATTTTGATTTGAGCCTCTCCACATCCAGAGAAAGAGACTGAGAGCACATTCCATGGTCACATTTCACATTTGTTTGGAATGTGTGCTGGAATTCCTTGTGGTTCTTTTTTTTTTTTTTTGGACAGGTAGAGTGGACAGTGAGAGAGAGAGAAGAGAGAAAGGTCTTCCTTTTCCGTTGGTTCACCCCCCAATGGCCGCTGCGGCCGGTGCACCACGCTGATCTGAAGCCAGGAGCCAGGTGCTTCTCCTGGTCTCCCATGCGGGTGCAGGGCCTAAGGGCCTGGGCCATCCTCCACTGCACTCCCGGGCCACAGCAGAGAGCTGGCCTGGAAGAGGGGCAACCGGGACAGAACCAGTGCCCCAACTGGGTCTAGAACGTGGGGTGCCGGCGCCACAGGTGGAGGATTAGCCTAGTGAGCCGCGGCGCCGGCCCCTCGTGGTTCTGTTTTTGCACATGTGTGCCTTCAGCTTCATATTGTTTTCTGCTCAAGATTGATTTAGAGGGCAGCAGGTTCCTGGTACTTTCTGAGTTAAATTGGTGGCAGAGCAGGCAGTGACACCTGGTGGTGACAGGGCTGACAGTGTTGTGTTGTCTCACAACCCCAGGACCCAGTTAACTGAACTCTCTCTGATGCTAAAGAGGGAAGGATGCTTTTTAAAAAGATTTCTTATCCCCTCCCCTCCCCTCCCTTCCCCTCCTTTTCTTTTTTTTTTTTTTCGTATTTATTTATTTATTTATTTTTGACAGGCAGAGTGGACAGTGAGAGAGAGACAGAGAGAAAGGTCTTCCTTTGCCGTTGGTTCACCCTCCAATGGCCGCTGCGGCCCATGTGCTGCGGCCAGCGCACTGCACTGATCCGATGGCAGGAGCCAGGTACTTATCCTGGTCTCCCATGGGTTGCAGGGCCCAAACACTTGAGCCATCCTCCACTGCACTCCCGGGCCACAGCAGAGAGCTGGCCTGGAAGAGGGGCAACCGGGACAGAATCTGGCGCCTGGACCGGGACTAGAACCCGGTGTGCCAGCACCGCAAAGCAGAGGATTAACCTAGTGAGCCGCGGCGCCGGCCTCCCTCCTTTTCTCTCCCCTCCTCTCCCTTCCCCTCCCCTCCCCTTCCCTTCTTTTTTCTTTTCGAAAGGTAGAATGACAGAGAGAGGGGTCTTCCATCCTGATCCAGGCTGAAGCCAGGAGCCTGGAACTCCATCCAGGTCTGCCATGTGGGTGGCAGGGACGCAAAAACTTGGGCCATCTTCCACCTTCCCAGACACATTAGCAGGAACTGAATTGGAAGTAGAGCAGCCAGTACTTGAACCAGTACTCTGCTATGGGATGCCATTGTTGTAAGCCATGGCTTAACCCACTGTGCTACAATGCCAGCTCCATGGATACTTTTTTATTGTGTGCCCCCTTCTTGCTGGTTGTGCGTGAGATCCTAAGGTGCCCTTGCCCTGTGGAAAGCACAGGGAGACTATAGGCCCCCCCCCCGCCCCCGGCCTGAAAGCACCCAATAGAAAACACTCAGTACTCCCAGGGAAAGAGCAGACTGGAGGGGCAGTTTCAGAAGCACGGTTTCAGGCTGGCGCAACTGGAGAATGGAGGAAACCTCTGCAGGGCCCTCCCACAGCACTCCATGGCGTCCACTCCCGGTGCACAGCTGGGAGCCACTGGGGAGGGGGGGGGCAGCCACCAGGTGCTGTTTGCTGCTGTCAGGCTTTGTGTCCGTTGTCACATTGGATGCTCTTACCTTACTTGGCAGGTGGGCATCCTGAGGCTCAGACAGTCAGTGACTTCCTCAAGGTCTTAACAGCTGCTCAGCATCAGAGCCAGCTGCAGACAGAGACACAGGCCTGCTCCATGCCAAAGGCTATGCCGTCTCTAAAAATTGTAAAGCACTTGTGAGTTAGCCTTTTTAAAAAAAAGAAAAATTAGGAGGCAGAGCAAGAAAGAACTAGCTCCCATCCATCGGTTCACTCCCCAGATGCCCACCACAGCCTGGGTTGGGCCAGACTGAAGCCGGGAGCCAGGTCTCCCACGTGGATGGCAGGAACTGAACTGCTTGAGCCATCACCGCTGCCTTCCAGGATCTGTATTAGCAGGAAGCCAGAAGTGGGATTGAATCCGAGCATTCTAATGTGGGACATGAACGCCTTAGCTGGCAACTCAACTGCTAGGCTAAACACCCACCCCTGGGTAATCTTCTAAAAAATAAACTAGTTTAATATTTTACAAGAACCATATTTTTTGTTCTTCCTAGCGTTTTGCTTTTTACCAAAATGTATGTTTTCTTTTCCTGACCCTCAATCAACCCCCTCAAAAAAAATTCCTCTGAACTCCAACAGCTGAGAAATTAATTTTCCTGGGTAGTATCTGTGTGTCAGGAAGTGGGTGGACTGTGTGCTACAGGGAACATACGAAAGGTTGGATTGAAATGCTGGAGTCTTCAGTTCCAGGCCCAGCAGACACTAAAGAAGGAAGCAACAGTAACCAGCCCATCCTGGGCCAGGAAGTCACTGAGGCCCTGGGCCCAGGAGGGAGGGAAGCAACTGGGAAACTGAGGCTGAAGCCCAGGAAGTGTGGGGTGGGAGGGGCAGTGATTTCCCCCATTCACTGGTTGCCTCTGTACTCAGAGCTGTCCCATTCTGTCTTCTGCGTTTCAGGCAGCTAGGGGGTGCTTCAGGACCCTGCTGACTTGCTCTTCCCCCAGTCCCCCTTTCCCATCTGTGAGTCAAGTTTACAAGCTGGCTTGCACCCACAGACAAGACAGTAATGAGCGCCGGTTTTCACAGCATTTCGTTTCATCTCCGATGATGATGGTGGTTACAACAATCTAGTGATTCTCTTGCAAAGCTCTTTTCACCTAACTGGCTTGCGAAGACATTTCTCATATGAAAATGTAAGAAAATTTTTGTTGGGGTACTACAGGTTAAGCCATTGCTTGCAACCCCAGCATCCCATATTAGAATGCCAGTTCCAAGTCTTGGCTGCTCGTCTTCCAGTTCAGCTTTGTGCTAATGCACCTGGAAGGCAATAGATGATGGCGGAGGTACTTAGGCCCTTGTCATACATGTGAGGAACCAGGACGACCTGGCTCCTGACTTCAGCCTGGCCCAGACCTGACTATTGCAACCATGTGGGGAGTGAACCAGCAGATAGAACACCTGTCTTTCTCTCTCTCTCTCTCTCTCTCTCTCTCTTTGACAGGCAGAGTTAGACAGTGAGAGAGAGAGAGAGAAAGGTCTTCCTTTTTCCGTTGGTTCACCCCCCAAGTGGCCGCTACAGCCTGCACATTGCGGCTGGTGCACCGCGCTGATCTGAAGCCAGGAGCCAGGTGCTTCCTCCTGGTCTCCCATGCGGGTGCAGGGCCCAAGGACCTGGGCCATCCTCCACTGCACTCCCGGGCCACAGCAGAGAGCTGGACTGGAAGAGGAGCAACCGGGACAGAATCCGGCACCCCAACCAGGACTAGAACCCTGGGTGCCAGTGCCACAGGCAGAGGATTAGCCTAGTGAGCGCCTGCCCTCTCTCTCTGCCTTTTATTTCTTTTTCTTTTCTTTCTTTCTTTCTTTCTTTCTTTCTTTCTTTCTTTCTTTCTTTCTTTCTTTCTTTCTTTCTTTCTTTCTTTCTTTCCTTCTTTCCTTCTTTCCTTCCTTCTTTCCTTCCTTCTTTCCTTCCTTCTTTCCTTCCTTCTTTCCTTCCTTCTTTCCTTCTTTCTTTCCTTCTTTCCTTCTTTCCTTCTTTCTTTCCTTCTTTCCTTCTTTCTTTCCTTCTTTCCTTCTTTCTTTCCTTCTTTCCTTCTTTCTTTCCTTCTTTCTTTCCTTCCTTCTTTCTTTCTTTCCTTCTTTCTTTCCTTCTTTCTTTCTTTCTTTCCTTCTTTCTTTCTTTCTTTCCTTCTTTCTTTCTTTCTTTCCTTCTTTCTTTCTTTCCTTCTTTCCTTCTTTCTTTCTTTCCTTTCTTTCTTTCTTTCTTTCCTTCTTTCTTTCCTTCTTTCTTTCTTTCCTTCTTTCTTTCTTTCTTTCTTTCCTTCTTTCTTTCTTTCTTTCCTTCTTTCTTTCTTTC